CCCCCCCACTATCTCCTTATTTGAGGTATCCCTTTGCTTTGTTACAGGTGTTGAAGAGCCTACCTGATGCTCCAATGCCAAAGCACATGGACAGGGAGTGAGTTATGATTGTCAATCATCTTGCTTTAGTGCCATCATGTATATACCTTACTATTTCTGTTTCCTAACATTTTCTGGGTTCATTATTGTAAGCCAATTGTCATAGCCACTGTTTTACTTGCACAGAGATAGAAATAAATGTGTATTGGGAAATTATTACTCTATATTTTAAAATAATTAATGCATCAAATTATCTCTTTTCTTAAAGGGCTTTTAAAAAATAGGCTTTGGCATCGGTTGTTTAGAAACAACCGATGCCAAAGCCTTATTTTTTTAAAAAAAGGGCTTTGCGTTGGTTGTTTAGAAACAACCGATTCCAAAACCGTATTTTTCATATAAAAAATACGGCTTTGGCATCGGTTGTTTCTAAACAACCGATGCCAAAACCCTTTTTTTTTTTTAAAAATAAGGCTTTGGCTTCGGTTGTTTCTAAACAACCGATGCTAAAGCCCGACCTTTTGCATCGGTTGTTTTACAACCGATTCAATTGCCTCGGAGCATTTGCATCGCCTGCATTTGCATCGGTAAAAAACCGATGCAAAATGTCCAAAATAAGCGATGCCGAAGCCTGTTTTTGTAGTAGTGAATATTATCCCTCTGGGACCAATTATGGGTATTTTTGTACAGGTTAGTTAGAAGCACACATACTTTCTTTAGCTCAGATCTCAAAAATAACCTTTCGTTACTGATGTGTTCAAATTGATTTCGGGTAGGATTTGATTCGGCCGGCAATTGGGATGACCACCAAAGAGTTTTTGGTCTGGATGGTCAAGATATGTATGTGGTAATGAGTATTTTAATTTGCATTAGTATATTTTGTGTATGAGTAGTAACATTTCTTGATATTAATCATGATTTGGGTATCTTATATTTTTCTAGGGTTCACAGAATGAAAGCTTTCCATATGTATATTATACACCAAGCTACGGGTATGCAGAATCTGTATATAGCCCTTATACTCCTGGTGCTGTGGTAGGAGTTTACACTTCATATATGGGAACACAGCAGTACTACACCATTCCTTCTTATGAAAACCCGGAGTTTGCCCAATCATAATTCCCAATGGTAATGCGAAATGAATCTGATATTGTGGCAAACAGTAAAACTCCATTCTTTGTTAGTTCCTTTTCTTCTGCTAATATAGCTTAAAGCCAGGGTGAATAGGAAAGCAACACATATCATCATTCTGCATGAAGTGGATTGCTTGAGTAGTTAGATTTGGAGTTTTTAATGATATTCTTGAAAATCTATCTGTGGGGGAATAATATAGGTTACTAATAATTTGTGTGGTGATCTTAGATTGAGCCAAATCCATAAAACTGCTTTGGACGGTGGTCTAACAAACATATTATCCAAGAACTTGCATTTTGCACCCCATCATGATACACATGAAAATCAAATTATCAATACATAGCTAAAAATTAATGCATTGAAAATTTCATATAGAGTATATCCTGGCTTCATATGGAGAATTTCCCACTGCATTCCTTTTCACTTTATGGCTTTTTACTTTAAGCCTTTTGTGTAAATATTGAAAAACAAGATGTAGCTTCTTTAGTTTCAATTTTGTTTTCTTCAAACAACCATGCTACACTTACACCAAAAAATGTATTCCAAAGTTACACCAAAAGTATACACTAACATTTTGAGGGTTCAAACTGACACAAGGCAAGTGAGTTTACAAAAAATTGCACTGACAAAATGCTGGTGCATTTACATTTTGAGGGTTCACACTAACACAAAATGTTGCTGATGAGTAGATTAATAGTGAATACATGTGATGTGTTAGGTATGTTATAAACTAAGAAGAAAGTATTATCATTGTTCCATGGGCTGCTCTTTTTTATGCATTTGGAAGGACAAAAATAGCAAAATCAATTAGAGTGGTCAAGGAAAAAGAGGTTATATAATCTATTAAAGCTAAATTCTATAGTTGGTCCTTCAAGTTATTGCATAATGCATGATTCGTCTTTCCACTTTGAAAATTTTACGAATAGTCCTTTAAGTCTTGTTAGTGTTGCATGGTTAGTCTTCCACTTTAAAAACTCTGCGAATAGTCCTTCAAGTCACGTTAGTGTTGCGTGAGTAGTCTTTCCGTTAATTTTGTTGTTACTCCATACATTCTTTTTGTTTTACATTATAAATACACGTGAGAAATCTTCTCTTTTTTCATACAGTTAAGTCATTTTTATAGATTCATTTTAATTGAATTATTGCTAAAAAAATCATACTTGGTTAATTGTAACAAGTCACAATTTTATAAATACGTTAAGACTAAGTAACTATTTTTTATCAAAATAAACTCATAAAAGCAAAAGCGACTTATTTAATTTAAAAAATTAGAGTAATTAAATTAAACTATTGTAATGGACCTATATTATTTGGTTCATTCCTTACTATAAAATTTGTCATCTTACATGACAAATTTTAAATGACATGACATATGAATAAATTACATGTAAATTACATGACATGTTTTAAATGCTCATTCATCATTTGTGAAAAAATTTATTTATGATAACCTTGAGAAGTTGATGAGTTTAAAAGTATATATTTTATATGTAAAAAATTATGGACTTTTGAACTTATTGAGAATTATGTAACAGAAATAAAACTTATATTTATCTAAAAAAATTAAATGAATTATTCATTAAAAAACTAATCATGATTAGTCTGTGACGTTTTTCATAAGAATTACAATGGTATTAACAATCTTTTGAGTAAAATATAAACTTTTAATAACTATTAATCTATTTTTTTGTATGAAAATTTATTGAGTTAAAATATAGCTCATCTTATATCACCCAAATAAAATAAATATGAAAAATTCATCAAAGAATATTAGTGCTTTATGGGTCTTAATAATATATTCAATAATTGTAATAACAAAAACTCTATGATTTAATTTATTCCATAAATTTTTTTAATAATTGTAATTTGCTTAAATATATAACAGAGAATACAAAAAATACCAATAGTCTTTAATACTTTATTTATGAAATAAGTAGTGTTTAGGCCTTTTTAGGCCTTTTATTTTTAAAATACTTTTTTTCATCATATTTTAGTAGGACTTTTTAGGCCTTTTATTTTTCTTTACTAGAACATAATTTTTCATTGGAAAAAGTATAACTCCCTCTTTTACAAAGACCACCAGATTTTCTCTTTAATTTGTTTAAATGCATTGATGCAAGAAGTTCTCATTTTATGACAATTAGAAGAAAATACAATTGTATGTTTTCATTCACGTCATTTGATGGAAAAGTACAAAAGTCTCAGAACAATGGCCGAGCAGCTCCGCAGTTTACAATTAAGTTGAAAAATGATCACAATATTGGATCTTTATTGGCACAAGAGGTTGTTGTTCCAAAATTCACTCAATTATACATATATGATACCCAGAATGAATTCTCAAACAGAATGAGTCATTATAGATACTTAAAACATGTCATGTAATTTATTCATATGTCATATCATTTGAAATTTGTCATGTAAGCTGACAAACAGAATGAGACATTACATACCACGGATGAACTTGGTACCGTCAGATCTTGGATTACCGTTTAAGTTTCAAAGGAGACAATTTCCAATATCTTTATGTTTTGGCATGACGATCAATAAGAGTCAAGGCCAAACATTATCATTTGTTGTATTATTCTTGACCAAATCAGTATTCACTCACGGTCAATTTTATGTTGCAGTTTCACGAGTGAAAACTAAGAAAGGATTGAAAGTCTTAGTTTTAGATAACAACAATAACTCTTGCAATTGCACCAAAAATGTGGTTTATCCTGAAGTTTTCCAAAAAAATTGGATGTAATACATTTATATGCTCTTTTCAATTTTTAAAAACATGAATTTTAGTTAGCATACTATGTTTATGTCATATCATTCATTAAACTTCTAACATTGTATATTAAAATTAGCTATATTTTTTAATCATTTACTAAAACCGAAAACTTAACAGAGTTAAAAAAAATGCGTCGACCCCGTGCATTGCACGGGTTAAATACTAGTTATCAAATATTACTCAGGGGTCCTTCTTTTATGGGTATCTTTCCACAAATAGTCCTTTTTTTAATTTTTAATCTTCTATCATGCTGGAGTTAATTTGAGGGCTAAAAGTGTAATTTCACAATGATAATATATCTTTTTTGTCATACACAATTTCAAAGGTTGTTCTGTTTATGTTGTTTGTGAATTACATTCGCTTTCTACTACAACCATAGTCTACAAATGTGGTCTTCTGTCAGAATTCTAGCCTACAATCATAGTCATTATTTTTGTGTTATACGCTCAACCAATATCAGAACACGTCACTAGACATAATGTTGATGTTAAATTATATTTTTAGCCTTTAAATTAACACCCACATGGCGGAAGATCAGAAAAAGGAGCATTTGTGGAAAGGCACCCTTAAAGGACTACGAGGGTAATATTTGATAATATGGAAACCCCCCTGTTATAAAGGATCCTACTTTATTATATACTCCCTCCGTTCCACAAAACCCTTCCGGTTTTGACTTTGGAGAAAAATAAGGAAAGTGTAATTTTGGTTGACTTTCCAATTTTGCCCCTGATGTGATGGGAAAAAGTAAGATGTGATAGTTTGGTTATTAGTGAAAAAGTATGATGTGATAGGTAAGGTATGAAAAAGTAGGGGTAAAAGTGGATTTTTAATAGAAAGTGGAAGTGTTTTGTGGAAAGCAAAAAAACGAAAGAGGAAGGGTTTTGTGGAACGGAGGGAGTATGTCTTTATAGGAAATGTTGTCGATATACATTAATTTATTACTTTCAAATGTTATGTAGATATTATACTTTTGAATAACTAGTACTTCACCCGTGCGATGCACGGGAAGTGTGTTTTTAAAAAAATGCAAAATTTATAGATATAAAAATATTATTAACGGAAAAAACATATAATTTTAAAATTCAGTTGGTGTAATATTTGGTTCATTTTATCTAAGTATAAGAAACGTGGTATGTGGACATATGTATAAACAAATTATTTAAAAATTTATGAATATTAATTTTTTAAAGCTAAATCTTATCATTTTAATAAAACATTAAGTATAGTAGTTTGTGATATTACTTACCCTTTTTTAATTCTAAATCTTATAAATTTCATAAAACATTAAATATAGTAATTTGCGATATAACTAGTCCTCTTTTTGAATTTGTTTCTTAAATTACTCAATTTTAAGTCATATTAATGAAAATAATTGATACCCCTAAAATTCAATTACAAAATGTTCAGATATAACTCAAGGAATGTGTTTTTGCATCCATCACCCTCACTCAAGTTTGAATACATACGTGTTCAAATCGGATCAATATTGTGATTAAAAAAGAGAGAATAAGTATTTAAACTGTATCTTTCAGTTTGTTTACGTATTATTGGTAAGAGTATCCAAGTTTCTACAATAATTGGAAACATGGAAAATTAGCTTGACGACACATGGGCGATCAGCTAGAGATGCAAGAGAAAGGAGAAAATGAATATTTCAACAAAAAAGGACATAAAAAAGGTACATATTTTTATGAATATTATTTTACTTTATTAATTCAACATACATCTATAAAAATCATAAACATTGTTCATAGGTTTCCTAGAAATCATGAGTATTTAAATAGTAAAATCGTTGCTTTAGATTTTTCGTGCATCCTCCTTTTTTATATACTATCCTAATTAATGCACACGGGTTTAGGAAGTTTGTAATAACTAAATTAAACAAAATATTTTGGTGACAATAAATTTTCCATGGTTTCTGAGGCAACAAAGACTATCGATAGGCCACCTGCAATTAGGGGTGTTCATTGGTCTAAAACTGGATCGGACCGAAAATCGAACTACGCTAAAATCTAGACCAAAGACCGGACCTAAATGTAGTCGGTTTTGGACCGGACCGACCTGAAATTTATGGACCGAACCGGTCCAGACCGAAAAGACCGAATCGAGGTGTGGCTGGAATTGAAACTTTCCCCACCAGCAAAACCCTAGTTGTGGAAAATTGGGGGTTTTGCAATCTCGAACCAAATGCTGCAATTGAGGAGTCAGGGTGGGTTGTAAAGATGTCAGGAAGATGCCTGGGTGGCTGCGCGGCGTCGAATTTGCCGGAGGTGGCCGGAATCTGCAAATACCCCCGGAAATTGCCGTGACGGGTCACCACTGATTCCCAGCGATTCCGGAGTCCAAATCCCACGATGCTGGTGGCGATGGGGTCGTATGGACCTCAGGAGGCATTTGGGAGTGGTGGGGAGGCTCGCCACTGCGTGTGGTGGCCGGAGCAGATTGGGCAGAGGCATGGACGGGGGTCTCGATCTTTTAGGTGGAGTGAAGGAGTGATAGACTGATAGAATTACCCCGTAAAATTAAAATGGTCTCAGTCTTTTAGGTCTGGACTGAATGATATTCGGGTTTGGACCGGACCGGACGGAAACCTGAAATTGTAAAATTGGTGGACCGAAGACCGACCCGAAATCCAATCAGTTCGAGGTCGGTCTGGACCTATCGGTCCGGTTCGGTCGGCTTTTTCGGTCTGGACCTAAACATGAACAGCCATACATGCAATATGTGTAACACCCTAATCTGTCCAGATCTGCACCCCCCTTTCGAACTAAAGTATTAACTTGGTAATCGTAAAATTTTAAAACCTTTTAAACACTTTTATTCATCACAAGAATAATATTCATAACAGTAACAATACGGAGTTTTCAATATTGCAGAAGCTTAACAAATCATAATCACAAACATAATTTATTTATGTTCTTCAATTCAAAACCATCACATCCATTCCGACTATCTCGCCTTCGTCTGCCTCCAGGATCACGTCACATAATTCTTTCTATTAACCTGAGTGTAGCAAATAAAACATACTACACGCTTGGCGTTGAAGTTGAGCAAGCATATCTAATGCATCGAACATCTATGTAAATTGAATCTCAATTCGTAATCAAATCATTTGATATCATGCACATAATGTTCAGTTTAGATATTCAACAAAATCAATATTCGATATTCATCATTCATTATTCAACATTCAACATTCATATTCAACATTCATAGTGTCAACAATGCTCATAAACTATTCTTAGTCTAAGGCCAATTAAATTCTTAAACTAATTCAAGTTTAAGGTAATCCTAACCAATCCTTAAGCTAGGCCTAGTTTATGATACAGATTTTCAAAAAGGTTTTAAAAATCTTAAACTTACCTTCGCTTAAGGTCAACCAGAAACCAAACAACGGAATGTTCACTGTCGGGTTGGGTGGTACCCCCAAACGAGTAGGTACTCAGGTTTGGTTTGTGGATCCCGTACGTACGTTTTAACCCTGGGCACCAGACATCATACCCGCAAGACCTAACTAAATGGGTATATCTTAGAGTTCTTCAAGATACCCTTGAAATCAATATCAGTTAACTAAAATGGTCATTTGGGTATATCTTAAAGTTCTTCTATATACTCTTCAAAATCAGTATCAATATGGGTATATCTTAGACTTATTCTAAATACACTTAACAATACATATTTTTTTCATAATCATCAATATATTCATTTTTAATCATGATTCAATCATTCATAATTATCATTTAATCAGAATATTTATCAAGGTTTAATCATCATAATCATCCATCAATAATAATCATCATAATAATCAATCATCAAGATATTCAATAACAAATAACAGCCTAGCATCGAGTGTTAACACCCTAGCTTACTGTCATGCATCACATAAGATTTTATTTGTCAAAAATATCATTTTTATTGTAAAAAATCATTTTTATATTAATCATAATTAATTGGTATCAAAAATAAGATTTTAGAGCTCAAAAATAACATTTTTGGAAAAAATTTCAGAGCAAAACTTTGGGGGCTTGATCCAGGGCTGATGATCAATCATCCTGGGGATCAATCCTGTAGTGATGATCGATCCTCTGGTGTAAATTGCAGACAGTTTCTGGTTCCTGTTCATCGTCTTCTTCCTCGGGTCCATTTCCAAAAATACCCTTTTTTTAGTCACCAAATTTCAATTAGTCTATATAGAAATGTTCTCCAAGGTTCATATATCATCTTGGTATCATTAATTCATAGTTTTAACAACAATTTCAAGGTTTATGATTCTTGGTTTTTCAAGTATGTCAAACACAAAACTCAACCAAACAACTGTTTATGAATGTAGAAACGATCTATACGAACATTCTAGTCACTAGATATATCAACGGGCTTACCTCAAGGCTTAATGAAGATTTTAAGAATTTTCCGACGAAATTTCCGGCGAAGATTACTCTTAGCTCCGGCGACTACACACCAAATTGACAACACCACTGCGTTCTCCGCACTCAAGGCTAACTCTCAGAATAAATTTGAAGAGAAATGGTGATGTTTGGGTTCTTTATATAGAAGAAGAAGAGAGAAGAAGCCAATGGGTCCTGCGTCACCTTCCCTATTTGAGCGGCTAGTGGAGCGGACGTCGATTTCTTCTCATTTCAAACGCAAGTTCCTGATTGGGACTAATTTCAGTCCCAGTCGGGGTATACTTTTTGGTCCAACTTTCTCCGAATTAAAATCCGTTTGCACCGTTGCGAACGAGCATCTAAACTCTATCCGACGATATAATTTTTATATTTATTTGTAATACTTTTTCTGACATCATATTTTTGGGGGTTTGACTTTGACAAAGTCAAAATTGATTTAGTTGACCTTTATTCAAAAAGGTTCTCTCATCCAATTCATATTATTTATTCTCATGATTTATTTCAATAAATCATTTCAAAATCCACATCATAATTCAATTTCTTTATTTATTCTTAATTTGGGTTTGTACTCTGGTTCACAATCAAGAACAGACAAATAATCAACATATTGGATTTATCTCTATGAGATTTATCTAGATTGTGATATTAGATATCAAAACATATTTCATTTTGGCCCAAAGCCTAACAATAATTTATTTTATGTGAAATTTGCACTGAATAGGACTAAAACATAAGTCATTTCCCAATGTAGCACTTAAACGTTTTTATTCCCTAAATAGGACTTAATAATGACTAGTGAGAAGAATAATGTCTAAGTGATGCTGGACATTTAGTTGAATAATGACTAATAGATAATGACCAATGATCCTACATTGGGAAATAAAAACATATGGTCCTATATTGAGAAAGTCATTATGTTTTAGTCCTATTTAGGTAAATTACCTTTATTTTAATCACAACAAATTTGTTTAATTGAATATTTAATTCAATAAACTTTAGGGTATGTTTTGGGGAGTTACAATATGTGCCAATATGAACAAGAGAATTATACTACTTGAAAATACTTTTAGCGGTCTAACGAGGTATGTACAAGCTATCCAAGCTTGAAGCCTTGAAGACAATTACCAACAATGTTGTATGAACAAAACTCATTCAAGAATGCATGTGAAGCATTAGAGTTATCAACCAATGATAAAGAATTTATTGAAGGTATAATAGAAACTACTGAGTTAAGATCTTGGAGTCAGCTAAGAAAGTTGTTAGTCACATTATCAGTGACAAATACCATGAGTCGTCCTCAAGTTGTTTGAGAAAAAATCATGGGAGCTCTTGGTTGATTGGAATTTATTTGACTGATGAATAATATTGCATAATCAAGGTATTTATATAAAAAGGTAATTTTTATTATTTATATAAAGATCAATATGACATGCATGGTATGTATGCAAAACTCTAGAATTGAGATATGGGTTGAAATAATTTAGTAGCGTTTTGACCATTTTGTAGAACTTATTATTTTCACAGAAGATCTAAAAGGTTTGTGTTTGATTGAGATTGAAAAGTTACTTTATTCAAATAGATGATCCTTATAGAAGTTTAGTGATATGTCATTCCGAGATGACAATGCACTTAATAGATTTTATAATAATTTTTTGGTAGAGGAGTAGTTGAACTATGACAAAAAAAGTTTTCATATGATCTTAAACAATATATATTTACAATGAATGAAGACTAGAGGAAGATATATGATGATGAATCCTTTATGTTTTGCTATGACTATGAAGCAAAGTCAATGTCAAACATTATTATTTATTGGATTATTTTTAAAAAAGTTAAAGTTTACTCATGGTAAACTCACTACAAGAAACTTGACATTTTGTGGCACCAAATTTTGCCACAAAACATTAAAAATTAACCACAATAGTTATTTGTAGCAATTTTGGAATTTGCCACAAGGTTGCCACAGATACCCCGTTACAAAAGCTATTTGTGGCAATTTTAAATTTGCCACAAAAATTATAGTTTTTGTGGCAAATTATGATTTGCCACTAATAAAAATTTGCCACAAAAGGTCATGTTTAGTGGCATATTTTAGTTGCCACAATTTATTATTTGCTACAAAAAGTCATATTTAGTAGCAAATTTATGATGCCACAAATTATATTTTGCCACAAAAAACCATGTTAAGTAGCAAATATTAATTGCTACAATTATCACTTTTTTGTGACAAACCTAATATTAGTGAGATTATTAGTATTATTATTATTATTAGTATGGTAGTAGTAGTATTTATTTGTAATATATTGTACATACATTATATTTTACATTTAATTATATATGCAAAGTGATGTAAAATAATAATAAAAACAAAACATATATGCTACTCATAATTCAATCCCAAACAATCAAAGGTTCAAATTGTTAATATAATAGGGTTTCGACATAAAATAAATATAGTACTAAACATGGCAAAATTGTTAAAGTATCTTAAACGCTTAACATCTAATAATAAGCTTCATCTTTTCATTTCATCTTGCATTGTCACATCTATCTCGAATGTAATTCCACCCAAAGTCGTAGAAACTGAATGACATCTCTCATATTGACCCTTGCTGCATATTAAGAAAATAAAATTAATAATGAAATAATATAATCTAGTAAGTAGGGCACGTATAAAACGAATTAAATAGTGTTTAAAATGACCATAGCAACTATTAACCAATTTGGTCCCTTAACTAAACATTTGGATCCAGACAATACTCATCAGGTTTGTTTAAAACCAGATGCGTCTGCTGATTCCGGCCTCCACCCCTTAAATGGCTAGGCAGTCACTATAGAACGTCAAGGGTAACCACACGGAAAACAACTCTAAGTGTTCACATACAACTTTAAGGGTAACCACCCCTGAAATAGCTGGGCAGCCACATGCAACTCTAAGTGTTCAGATTCAAATCCCATGAACAAAGAATTGTTACAAAAATGAAGCAGGCAGTTACGGCAAATGGATTGACATCAAACTAATCAAACATATTTTGCATGACAAGTAGTGCGGAAAACAAGGCCACCCCTGATAGATGGTCTACTTAGACTTAATAAATACACGGTTGTGACAACACTAGCGTGTGATGATTACAAAGGGCCACCCCTGTTAGGTTATAAAGAAACAATACTCAAACTGTTCAAGTTCAAATTCCATGAACAAAGAATTGTTACAGATATGAAAATGCAGTTACTTCAAATAGATTGAAATCGGACTAATCAAACATATTTTGCATGACTAGTGCTAAAGGCATGATCAGATTAGCTAGGCTCAGTACGTATTATCTATGGGAAATATACAAAAGAGTTAAATGACACTAATAATAAATATTTCATAGATGAATCAGTACCTTGTATCATTCGAGGGGGCTATGGTCCTTGGAAGTGAAATGAACATGTTGAGATGAATTACTTGATGCCCTGTATACAAAAGATAGCTAGGTCGATAAACAGTAATCATATTCATCTTAAAATACATATACATTTACGAAAACTATATATACCTCTGAACGTGGTAAAGAAGCCAATCTTTCCTCTAGGGCACGGATACGAGCTTCATAAGTTTCATTAATTTCAGACACTCTTTTATTCACTTCAGTATCAATCCTCTCTTGCTCAAGAACCTTTGTAATATCTTTCTTCACATAAGAATGAAATGACAACACTCCTTGTCCCATGCCCCTTTGATGATTTGACCCTTGTTTATGTTTAAGAACAATCTCAAAAGCCTCTTGTGGAGTGAGATTAACTTCTCCATATTTATCCAGTTGTTCCTGATGCAATGCTTTGAGATCATCATATGCTTTCTCTGCATACTCATCCGACCAAGTACCATTTTTGCGTTTCTTAGTAATTTCCCATAGGGCCAAATAGTATGGTTCCTCTTCCACTTGTTCAGTTTCTGATAGATTCTCTTCATCACACTCATCTGAATCTGGTTTCTTTGCTTGTAGCTAAAATTTTAAAGGTTGTGTTAATCATAGGGAATGTAAAAAAATCTAATTTCCTACCAATAGTAACCTACTAATTGAAATATTAAATGAACTTCTATATTCTATCTTCTGGGTGGAAATAGGTTCTCATTAAAAGTGTGTTACGTTACATGCTCTACCTCCACATATCTTCTCTGCAATTCAGCCCCCAAAGGGAGTCCTAAGAAGGATGGAGCAAAGTGGCACTGGTCATGCCCTAGTTTAGTTGCATGTAGCTAGTTTAGTTGCATGTAGCTAGGCCACCCCTGACAGTGCATTTTTTTCACAAGTCAAGTGATATCGGGGCATGGTTTTGAGTAGAATGATCACCATGTTTGATATGTATGCTGGTGATCTTGTTATTTAGAACTGATATTAATAAGTATTCACTGCCCCTTCTTGAGAGACTACAAAATCTCTCTAGAAACCTTTTCCTTTTAGAAAGTAAGTCCCCTGTTGATGTGATAACCAGAGTAATTGTGCCAAAATGGCCTCATTTTCGGAATGATCTGTTCTTGAAATGTACTCTGAGAAAGTGTACCCTGAGAGACCACTACCTCTTTCATGGACCCTGAGAAAATCTCTCTGTGAAGTGGTTGATCTTGTTGGTGGGGCACGTCTATCAAATTCACCTCCATCGAAATTACTTCCATGAGTATGATGTTGGTTAAGGCTTTCTACTTCAAACATACCTGTTTTTTCTAATAAATTACAAGAGAATAAACAATGTATTTTTATTAGAAAATAGCATACTTGCTCTAATAACAATCCGACTAGAATAAAATTGAATGAACCACTACCTCTTTCATGGACTCTAACAAAATCATTCTGTGACGTGGTTGATCTTGTTATTGAAGCTTGCCTTTCAGATGCACCTCCATTCAAATTATATCCATGAATGCGATGTTGGTTGATGCTTTCTAGTCCAGACACACTCGTTTCTTCTAATAACAACAAGGGAAGAATGTATTTATAAAATCAAACCAACATACAGTGTAACACAAATTTTATTAGAAAATAGCATACTTCCTCTAGTAATATGCCCCATACTTGTAAGCCCGGTCATTTCCGGATTCGAAGAGGCTTCAAACATTTCATCTAATATCAATCAAAAAAATTATATATCACTAACTGTCAAGGTAAAATAGTTTGAATTAATATACCTGTACTTCACTTACCAGAAAAGATCATTTGAGTATGAGGCTTAAAACATGAGGTTTGTCGAGAAATTGGTTTTTTAAATGAAGTCTTCAATGTGCTGTTTTTTTTAAAGGCAATACTATCATCATCTTTAGCATGCATTCTCTCCTCGTATGTTGGAACATACTCATCATCCCCATCAGCAACATTATTCTCAATAACATGTGCTTTGACTCTTTTCAATGATGAACCTAACGCAGCTAGGTATCCCAAGTTCCTGAAACCTCTTATTGTTTCTTTCAATATTGAGTTCCCTCTGCCTTTCATAATCTGTTGTCTTCCGCATGGTAAAGATATCCTTGGATGACATCTGATTTTTGTTAGATCTTGCTATACTTCTCAAGCTATCATCCGTGACATACATACGTGCTCTAAACCAGGATAAGTACCATATCAATCATTATAATTTAAAAATCAATTACAGAATATTTAATACATTGGAATTCACTAAATTATAAACACCAAAGGATATAAAAAATTAATAGCAACCATAAATAACTATATGATAATAATTAAATAGTGTGCATACCCGGAAGACATAATTGCGCACTTGCAAAGAAGTACTTAATTTCAAAAAGAACTGCTCCCCAATGCAACCTTAGAAAATAACCTAGTCATGTATAACAATTAGCTCATATAAAGGACAAATACTATAATCAAGCCTAGATTATATATAATTGAACTAACAAATTTAGAGTAATGAATAAGCATAATTGAAGAAAGTTGAATCACGACGCCAAGTGCTAACAAATCCATGTCGCAAAAGGAATCATACACAATTAAATGATTAAATCTATATGCACTTGTTGACCATGATGTTTTAAATCTATATACACTTGTCGCAAAAGGAATCATTGTGTATCTACATACACAATTAAATCTATATACACTTGTCGCAAAAGGAATCATTACTATCTTCTCAAAAAAGAAAGTGACAAGTTTATTTGGGATATAGAGAGTATGAAAAAGAACGAAATCATCCAAATTACAGTGATTTTCATAATCACAACATCCAAATTTGTGAACATCCAAATAAAAGCTTCAAAACCAGACTTCACCTTGACATTTTAAAATAGTAGTTTAACTGTGAATGTGACCAATAATTAATCAAAAGCAGTGGTAGTCTGTAGATGGCTCTTGTGCTTAATAGTACACACGGATTAGTATTACAGATTGAATTCTGCACAGAGAAGAATAGTGGTTTCTGTGCAGAGTAGTAGTCCTTTTTTGTTCACAATAAAAAATGTCAATGGCTATTAGCTTGAATGGAAGAACTCTTGGAATGGATGGAAGAACACAAAGGAAGAAACAGACAGAACTTGTTTCCCTTCTTGGTTCATGTAGCATTTCTAAAACTGCTAGGCTGGATTGGAATCCCATATTAACATGAGCCACTGAATTAGAAACCCCCCTTAATTTTCATGTTACTCTCTCATGCCCACAATTTCCAGTTCCTTCCAGAATTCATCATAACCCAACAAGTAATAATCGTAAGGAATGAAAATTTGATTTAGACACCTGGAGTGTAAACTGGAAGTCAAAATCAAACTGGAAACTGGAGAAAGGGTGTGTTAATATACCTGAAATTCGAGAACTTACAGCGATTTCAGGACTGCGAAGTAATCTGATTTTAAGGATAAGAAAAACAACAGGTGAGGACCAAACTTAAACAATCTAAAATTGAAAAACAAATTAAGTAGAGAAAGAGTGAAAGTTGATAACCTAGGGTGAAGCTTGAGAGGCGGGATTGCAGTAGTCTTGATTCCAGCTTAAGTGATTGCAGAGGAAGCGATTGAAGAAAAATCGAAGAAAAATCAAATGAACAGATGCAATTGCAGAAAAATCGAAGGAAAATCGAACCAAGAGATGCGATTGCAGAGCAAATTCACGCTGACCTTTCGAAAAAACAAAAAAAAAGAACCAATAGAGAGAATACCTGTCCTGGCGAAAGATGTCTGGGAATTTCGGCCGGTAGAGGAAAAGAGGCGACGAAGAGCAGACTTGAGAGAGACGAACTAACAAAGGGGTGAGACTTGAGAGAGGGAGGTGTAGCGGCAATAAGGATTGAGGGAATAGTGTTGGGCTAATTTTGGGTTAGGCGGGAGTAAGTTTTCATTAAAAATTAATTCATTAATAATTTGATTAATTTCCCTCCTTAATATTTTAGGTATAGTAGCAACTTTATAAATTTGCTACAATAAGTATACTATTTTGTGGCAAATTTTAAATTGCCACAAATATTAAAAGACTTTTTATATATAGTGGCAAATATTTATTTTGCTACTAAAAGTTAGCCACAAAAGATCATATTTCTTGTAGTGACTTTATGTGGTTTCATGAGTAAAAATCAAGATAAGGTTAAAAATATTAGTTGTAAATGATAATAAAAAACCTTGCAACCACACAAAAAATGTTGTATTCCTCAAAGGCTTTCCAAAAAATATGGATTTAAAAAAGACTTTGAGGTGTTTACTTTTGAATTTATATATAAGCATTTTCATTACCAAATATTAAATGCTAAATTATTTGGTTTACTTTGATTTTAATGTCTACAGTGTTAAAGAGCGCATTAAATATATTTTTATGCACGCATTTAAAAATATTACCCTAAACAAAAATTTGGTTCGACCTCGTGCCAAGCACGGATTAAAATACTAGTATAAATATATAACTACACAATATATTGTACAAATATATTTTTTCCGTATATTAATTGAACCAATTATAATTCGATCATGATGTGTATTGTAACAGTTACTCCCTTCGTCTAAAAAATTTAGATTGGCCCGGGGTAGAGGGTCTATCAAGAGGTTACTAGATTAGGGTGAGGAGTGAGAAGCATACATTTTTGACTAGTAGAGACCTGGTTTGGTTGGTGTCATATACTCATATTATGACAACAAAACCTAGTTGTATTTATTTAAACATAGAGGTTATTTTGGACTATTATTTTACAAAGTATGAAAACAAATACTATACGTGCATCAAAATAAAAATAAGGACCATGCTACACTTACACCAAAAATTGTACCACATTTGTACCCCGCAGTTATACACAAACATTTTGATGGTTTACACTGGCACAAGTGTGGGTGCATTAACAAAAATTTACACGGACACAAGTATTGGTGCATTAATAAAAATTAGTCTTACACCAACATAAAATGTTGGTTCAAACCTGTGGGGTACAAAAACTTGGGATAACAAATAGCTTTATCCTAAAATAATTCCTTTCTTTCCATAATAAACAACGTATGTTTTCTTTAGGCGGACACACTTTCTCAAAATAAAAACCCATTGCCTTTTTAGCAAGGAGAATATAATCATCATTAATATCAGTCTATTTTAAAATCTGATTCAATCATCCACTTTCAATAATTTTCACAAATTTCGTATCCAATCAAAGAGGATTTTAATTATGTTGAAAACAATAATTATGTTGAGAATAGTAACTGTGTTTTATTTAACAAGGATGTAGTATATCTATGGTTGTATACAAAGGCATTAATAAGCTCCAGCAGGGTCACTTAAGCATTCTCAACATACATATAAATATGGCAACCACTAACATGTATGTTGCCAAAAAGCATGAACAAACCTATATAACTGTGAGGCATATATACAGAACAAGAGTACATGATGAACTAACAACAACATTATTTAATTTCTATATTCAAAAGAGATGAATGAATGAATATCTGATGTACATTTATATAACACATATGATAATCGCTTTTCTCCATAGATTCAACCTCAATCGCGGGCCTCACGATCCTAAACACATGATCACCATCGCTGCGCAGATCAAGATTCCCTGCAACACACAAACAAATGAATAAAAGGATGTCATGAAGAATAAGTATTGTGCCTAATTCATGTCTAACAAATTAAAAGGCGTACCGTTGTTGAGAAGAGAAATGAGGAGGAGGGGGCGCAGAAGAAACGAGCCAGCACGCCCGCCTATATTTTATACATCATTTGTATATAAATTTGAGAGTTCAATGCATAAAAACTTGTTATGTGGCATATTATGTGGCATTTAATTTATAAGTTAGACTTCATTCAATAATACTTGACATGAGATTAAACTTTTATTTTTCATCAAAAATAAAATTATTAAAAATAAAAAATTTCAATAAATCCTTAAAATTAAATTATTAAGAATAAATTATTCAATAAATCCTTTACTTATTCAAGAAATATTTAAAATTTTTAAAATTTCCTAAAAAAAATTTCTACACCCTTCACTTTTTAATATTATGTAACAATTAATTATTTAAATTTTTATAAAACCGTTCACTTTCTAACTATTTAAAAATATTCATTTCATTATTAGAACATATTTCTTAAATATTCAAAAGTATGTTCACTTTCTAACTATTTAAAAATATTCATTTCATTATTAGAACATATTTCTTAAATATTCAAAAGTATGTAGTTATTTAAAAATTTAATATAAACTTTATTCCTTGAGAAAACAACATTGTATATAAATTTTGAATCTATGCACCCTACAATTTGTTTTTCTATTACGGAGTCCTTCTAAAAAAATTACATAACTTTATCCTTATACGACTCTATTAACTACAGTGTTTAATTTAAACTTTTAAATAAACTTTATCACACATGCATCTTTATTAGTTATACCCCGAGTATAATTTATTTAATAACCTTTCATCCTACTTTATTATATATGTCTTTTTACGCAATGTGGTCGATATAAATTAATTTAATTTATTACTTTCAAATGTTATGTAGATATTATATTTTTGAATAATCATTTATATTTTTATTTAATAAAATTTTGTAAAACAACAACTTTATTTCACACGTCATATGCAACGCTATCCATGGATTCCATGCACATAAAATTATTTAATAAGTGATCAATATGGTTAATTATTCCCTCCGCATTTAACACGCACCATCATTATGAGGCAAATTATATAACTAGCCCTCTTTTTGAATTTGTTTCTTCAATTACTCAATTTTTAAGTCCTATTAATGAAAATAATTGATACCCCTAACATTCAATTACAAAATGTTCAGATATAATTCAAGGAATGTGTTTTTGCATCCATCACCCTCACTCAAGTTTGAATACATACGTGTTCAAAAAGGATCAATATTGTGATTAAAAAAGACAGAATAAGTATTTAAACTTTATATTTCGGTTTTTTTCTTTTTGTTGGTAGGAATATCCAAGTTTCTACAATAATTGGAAACATGGAAAATTAGTTTGACGAGAGATGGACGAGATCAGCTAGAGATGCAAGAGAAAGAAGAAAATGAATATTTCAACAAAAAAGGACATAAAAAAGGTACATATTTTTACTATTATTATTTTACTTTATTAATTCAACATAAATCTATAAAAATCATAAACATTGTTTATAGGGTTTCCTAGCATAGAAATCATGAGTATTTAAACAATAAAATCCTTGCTTTAGATTTTTCATGCATCCTCCTTTTTTATATACTATCCTAATTAATGCACACGGGTTTAAAAGTTTTGTAATAACTAAATTAAACAAAATATTTTGGTGACCATAGTTTTTCTATGGTTTCTGAGGCAACAAAGACTATTGATAGACCGCCGGCAATATGTGCCAACATGAACAAGAGATTGAATTATACTATTTGAAAATACTTTTAGCGGTCTAACGAGGTATGTACAAGCTATTCAAGCTTGAAGCCTTGAAGACAGTTGCCAACAATGTAGTACGAACAAAACTCATTCAGGAATGCAGGTGAAGCATTAGAGTTATCAACCAATGATAAAGAATTTATTGAAGGTATAATAGAGACTACTGAGCTAAGATCTTGGAGTCAGCTAAGAAAATTGTTAGTCACATTATTAGTGACAAATACCATGAGTCGTCTTTAAGTTGTTTGAGTAAAAATCATGGGAGCTCTTGGTTGATTGAAATTTATTTTAAAAATAATATACTTAACAAAAATTTTGTTCGACCACGTACTTGGCACGGGTTAAAATACTAATCTAAATTTATAACTACACAATATATTCTACGAATATACTTTTTCGTATATTAATTGAACCAATTATAATTCGATCATGATGTGCATTGCAACAGTTACTCCTTTCGTCTAAAAAATTTGGATTGAGCCGGGGTAGAGGGTCTACCAAGAGGTTACTAGATTAGGGTGAGGAGTAAGAAGTATAAATTTTTAGAGTATTATTTTACAAAGTATGACAACAAATACTATCCGTGCATCAAAACAAAAATAATTCCTTTCTTTTCATAATAAACAACATATGTTTTCCTTAAGCGGACACACTTTCTCAAAATAAAAACACATTGCCTTTTTAGCAAGGAGAATATAATCATCATTAATATCAGTCTCTTTTAAAATCCGATTCAATCATCCACTTTCAATAATTTTCAGAAATTTTGTATCCAATCAAAAAGGATTTTTCATTTAAAACGAAATTTGTTATATCTGCAAAAATTGAGTAAGAATTACCATTAGATTATCACAGTACCCTCGTCCCAAAGTAAAAGATAACTCGTTTATGATGATTGAAAATTGATAAAATTATGTAAAGAAAAAAATCGATTAATAATAATTATGTTGAAAATAGTAACTATGTGTTTTATTTAACAAGGATGTAGTATATATATGGTTGTATACAAAGGCATTAATAAGCTCCAGCAGGGTCACTTAGCTTAAGCATTCTCAACATACATATAAAGATGGCAACAACTAACATGTATGTTGCCAAAAAGCATGAACAAACCTATATAACTGTGAGGCATATATACAGAACAAGAGTACATGATGAACTAACAAGAACATTATTTCTATATTCAAAAGAGATGAATGAATGAATATCTGATGTACATTTATATAACACATATGATTATGGCTTTTCTCCATAGATTCAACCTCAATCGCGGGCCTCACGATCCTAAACACATGATCACCATCGCCGCGCAAATCAAGATTCCCTGCAGCACACAAACAAATGAATAAAAGGATGTCATCAAGAATAAGTATTGTGCCTAATTATTCATGTCTAACAAATTAGAAGGCGTACCGTTGTTGAGGAGAGAAATGAGGAGGAGGGGGGCGAAGAAGAAACGAGACCCTTGAAGCCGTTCTTATAAGCAATGCTCCCATCATGTTTGAAGAGCCCAAAGTTCCTCTCGGAAGTTGGCCCGGGCTTGAGATTTTCATTGAACAAAGCGAAAATGTAAGCCTTCACTGGGGTTTTCGGCCTGTACGGAGTCCCCTTCTTCTTCAGCAACCGTTTGCGCAAATTGTTGTTGTAAGTCATAGCATTCTTGGTACTCGCACCAGCTTCGTCCCCATCCCCCTGCGAAGCCCATCCGGTTTCAGACACTATGACTTCCATTTTAGGGAACCCCACCTTCTCAAGGGCAACGTAGGATGCGTCCACCATGGCATCAAACATGTTGTCGTAATGCAGCTTGGTTTTTGCGTCGCTGATGCCAGAGTTGGACTCGAAGAGCGCGTACCGGAGGTTTATGTGGTCCGGGTCGTTCTTGTACGCGAGGAAGGGGTACGCGTTGATATAGAAAGGGGAGCGCGTGCGAGAAAAGAACTGGAGAAGTGGTTTGAGGACTGGGAGGAGGCTTTCCTTGAATGCCCCTTGTGAGGGAGGGTATGTGCTCTCAAACACGGCTTCTGAATGTGGGCTTGACACCTCAATGGTTCTGGCTAGATGGAGGGATTGAAGCGCCGCGTAGATGTTCTTCACCGCGGGTACTAAGACCTGCCAGAGTTGCATATCACCTCCACCTAGGATCTCGTTCCCAACTGCGATTCCAACGATTTTCGTGCCCGGGAGAAAGGGCACCACGTTGTCCTTCACCCATTGGACTGCCCGATCCTTGCTTGAGCTCATGTCGGTCACCAACTCGTTGGGCAGCCCGACGATCAACTCGACTCCTGACCCGTTGAAGGCTTTCAACACCGTGTGGTCCGCGTCGTACAGCCTGATGTTCTTTATCTTGTTAGCTCGGAGTAAAGCCGCAACTTGTTCTGGTGGAGGAATGTTGTCTGATATTCTTCCATAGTTCACTCCATATGTCCCCACCATTCTACCTGCGACAACAACAATAACAACACTTATTAGCGGATTTAATTTTTCCGCAAGGTTCCGTTAAAATAAGCATAAGATGATAAGGACAGAAACCAGCAGAATACCTTCCGAGAAGCAAAAGGCGAGGAGGAGAAAAGCAGAGACAATGAGAGGCTTGGAGCGCATAGTTGTGTTGAAAGTTAGCGAAAGCGCCGATTCAGTGCAGAGACTCTTAGAAGTAAAAAAGGGCAGTTGCAGCAGGTAATAGGAAATATAAACATTTCCAGTTGGAAACATGTAATATAAATATGAACTAAAATGGGTATAGCAGGAGGTTATTTTATGCAATTCTTCTTCTTCAGGATTGACATAGACCAAACCAAGGGAGATTCCAAACCTTTGTCTGGAGACCAGTTGCCACCAAATCTTGGTCCCTTGAGACACAAACTTGAGATGTCTTTGGAAGTTAGATTAGATTACAACCTTATAAATGGCTTTATTCCTTTTCTGATCTAAAAGTTTTGCCTCTTTTTCTGTTATTTTACATTCTTTTTCTTGCCCTACACTGTAGTATCTTGAAACCCTTCCAGCCCCACTTTTTATCTCCCCCAAGAAATTGATTATATACCCAACTACTTATACCTGTTCTTTTCGCCTTAACTTTACTTGGAATCTGAAGTCTCTTAACTGGAGTCTAAAACCAAAAAAAAAACAAGCCCTCAGTTTTAAAAAACCCCATCTAAAAAATTGGTTGTATAGCACATCAGCAACAACTCAAACAAACACCCAAAATCTAACAGCGATAGTTACAATAACAGACAGCTCAAACGAACGAACGAACCCTTTTTAAAAGGCTACTAATAACCATTATTACTAATGAGAAAACTAGAAATCAAGGTTTCTAGTATTACAACATGAAATACATGTCATTAACATGTGGGATTATTATTACAGACTAAATTTCTCCATTGTCATGACAGACATCTGAAAACTACACATCTATAACACATATAGTGTATGACAGTCAGGTAATTACAGTCATCCAAACAACACACAGACAGGTAAATGTAATGAGGTAAAAATAAAATAAAAACACTCATCAGCAGCTGATGGGTTCAGGCTGACTAACAACTACACTGTTTTCTATCACTGCTTCTTTGTTGCTGTTATTATTATTATTGGTATCATTTTCGGTATCCTCTTTGTGAGCCTTGGAGCTGTCTTCTTCGTCTCCCTGGCTTTCCAGGGTTTCAACGGGTATCTCCTTGCTTGAACTTAATGGGGCATCGTGTGCCTCCTCCCCATCAGCTTTGTCATCCCCAGCAGTCCCCTCCTTCGGCTGGTTTTCCTTTCCAGCTGCTTCTACCTCTTCACCTTGACTGATCTTTTCATCAGTTTTCTCAGCCTCAGCGGTTCCCTCTTTGGATTCATCTTTCCCGGTGCCATTTTCGCCGGACTTGACCTCTGTCTGGTTTTCCTTTCCAGCAGCTGCTTCTTCACCTTGGCTAACCTCTGCCATGGTCTTTCCTTCTTCGCCTTTAGCATCTGTTTGGATCCCGGAAAAATACAGGGGAGTAAAAAAAGTGTGAACGATAAATTCTGGAAAAAAAATTACAAGGAAAATGCAGGAGAAAATAAAAGATAAACTAAAACTCAATTGAAGTATTACAGATATTTATTCATAACTGATACTCACTTTTCTTATTTATATATACATATTTGAAAATAACAGATATGCTAAAACTCAATCGTACTATAAAGCTGATTAAGAAATCCAACTATATGTTGACATCTTTTTTTTTTTTTTGCACTTCACTATAACGTACGACCAATCACAGGCAAATAACTTTCTCTAGCATTATTTTTCTTTTCCCTTGCATTTTCCATGATCCAAACATACCATTATTCTCAGTGGACACCTCCTTAGGTGGCAATTCAAATTCTATCTTGTCATCCAGCAGCTGGCATTTCTCTTTTCCCTCTTTGGATTCATCTTTCCCAGCGCCATTTTCCTCGGACTTGACCTCTGGCTGGTTTTCCTTATCAGCAGCTGCTTCTTCACCTTGGCTAACCTCTGCCGTGGTCTTTCTATCCTCACCGCCTTTAGCATCTGTTTGGATCCCGGAAAATACAAGAGAGTAAAAAACAGGTGAACAATAAGTTTGGGAAAATGAAAAGAAAAATGCGGGGGAACATAAAACATAGACTAGAACTCAATTCAAGTATTTCACATATTTATGATACTCATTACATACATACATATACATACATACATACATAGATATATATACATATACACACACACACACATATATATAGGGTGTGTATTATATAACTGATTAAGAAAACCAACTCTATGTGACATTTTTTTTGCATTTCACTACAACGAAAGACCAATCACAAGAAAATACTCCCTCTCTCCCGGAATGATCTTCATGTTTCGGTTTAAGATGTTTAACTAAAGTTATTTTTAATTCAATTTATTTAATTATTGGCACAAAATTTTAAAATAAAATTTACATCCAAAATCTACATCAAAAGGTGTACAAAACAAGAGGTGACACGACTATTTTATTTTAATATGTTATCAATGAAAATATGAAAATAAAGAAGAAATGGTTTGACCATATGAATAGTAACTTGGACGATAATTTACTCCAAACAATTAGCATATTCCATGATCCAAACATACCATTATGCTCAGTGGACACCTCCTTAGGTGGCAATTCAACTTCTATCTTGTCCTCCATTTCTCCCTTGACTGCTTCAGCATCTCTCTCCTCCTCCTTGCCGCCCTCTGGCTCATCTTCGGCCTCCTTGGTGTCCTTCTTTCTCCCATGGGAAGTCCGGCGCCGTTTCTTGTGCGTCTCAATCTCGGAAGTCAACGGAGGTCTTGACTTGCTCTTTTCAATGATCCTAGTTGACCTCCTAGGAGTCTCCCCGGTGCCCCAGTCAAACTCCAAAGATGCAGGGTTACCGGGGTGAGATTTTAGATACTGGTTTAACTGTCTCTTGTTGTTGATCTCCTCTCCTGTTGGAGAAACAAATACGACCTTCCCTCCTTCCGATGGCAGGTACTGCACATGAAAACATAAAGTGTCGGCAAGCTTGAGCGTTTGGTTGAGTCGGTTCCTTAAGAGACTCACACGCCACCCTTAGATATAAAGAATTCTTGGAAAGTTTCCCTAAACCTTCCCTTCACTATGTACCATAACTAGCTAGAAAAAGAACACGTCTTCCATGTTGGAGTTTTTACTTCTTAGTTAGAGCATATAACCTCTTAATTGCTAAGAAACATTTGTATTAATGATTCCGCCTATTTTCCATTTAAGAACTTTCCTTTTCGTACTCCTAATGAGGGATTTGGAGGTCAGACACTGACCAAGCCTGTAACGGTGCCTGATCGACTAAGCCCGTACCCGTCTCTAAATCTTGACCACAGTTTCTAAATCTAGAGATCAAATTGGACAAGAACAAACTAGCTAACATCAACGGCTTGTACTCCCTGATTGATCCCAATAGACTGGTGGAAACTTAAAACCTCCAACAACAAAAGGTTGAGTTTTTGGAAGAGTTAGGGTTTTGACAAATTCACAACTTCAAGTAATCATAGTTCTGGAAATGATCATTAACTGAGCAAGAAAAGTGATCTGCATGAACCCACGTTTTCCTAGCTAAAAACAACACAGGAATGAAAACTAGAAGCTCAAAATTAACAAAAAAAAAAGTTAAAAAAGCAGAGCAGAAATCAAGAAAGGGGGATGAAGAATTAATAAAGTAGTATATATATTGAGTAATAAAGGAAAACCAGTTTCTTCCAAGAAGAGGGCGCAGGAAGCTCAACGGAGATGAGCTTCTCATCATCATCTTGATTGTGAACCACCTTCTCTTCACAGCTTGCCATCTTCAAGCTCTCAAAACTCATGAAAAAACGCCCAAACTGAGTGGGTAAAGTGTTTCTCTCTCTAAAGATCAGATCTTTTTGGACTTTTTATTTTTCCTGAGTCGTTGAATATTGGAACTCGGCCGGTGGAACTCTCACTCTGTTTTCTTTTTAATTAAATAATCAGAATTCATTTAAAATTGGAACTTACTCTGTTTTATTGATTAAATAAATTTTCCTTAGTAAAAACAAAAATAATTTGGATTACAGTAATTAAAAAAATAATTTTTTTTCTTTTGAGTGCAAAAAAAAAAGGAGAAAATTGTCATGCAACCGAGAAGGTAATACGGTATAAAATTAAACAAATAATTCCCTCTCTGGATTTACTCTAAATTATATTTTTTTATTTTGAACAGTAAATTTGTTTGGTGAGAGAAATAATGCAATTCATCCAAAATTTATCATGAAGCCATTGGAAAATTTATTCTCAAAAACACCAAAAATACAAAAAAAAAATATACAAAGAAGTACTCCGTACTTCGTATAGGAATAAGAAAAAAAATGAGAATTTAATAAAAGGAAAGTGATTAATAATTGTAGAAAAAGACGGCACGAAAGCGCTGCTCAACCGACACCTAACCGCGAAAAATAGCCACGAATCCGATTTCCCCCGAGCCTTATCGGTTGTCCTTCTCCCATTCTCGCACGATGCACTCTGATTTTCTAGATGGTACGAACGCGTTTGTTTTCCAAGAATACAATAAGGACCATGATACATTTACACCAAAAAATGTATACCATTTGTACACCACGCTTATGTACAAACATTTTGACGGTTTACACCGACACAAGTGTTGGTGCGTTAACAAAAATTTACACGGACACAAAGTGTTGGTGCATTAACAAAAATTAGTTTTACACCAACACAAAATGTTGGTGCAAACTTGTGGGGTACAAATTGGGGTATAAGTGTTGGGGTACACATAGCTTAATCCATACAATAACTCTAAAAAAGCATTATTATCTCTCTCGGTATATTTGTCTAGTTAGATTTTTTTGAATTAAATTAAATAAATTTTAAACTTCAGTAACTCTCAATTTGTATCACGTATTAGTACAATAAAATAAAGTTTTGAAAATTTTCAACTAGATATATCTAATAAAAGTATTTTTGGACTTATATATATTATTATTTTTGTTTCATTGAATCTCAAAGTTCATCATGTATGACTCAAAAAAGTTAAAGTAGACAAATACCGTGAAACAGAGGGAATACTATTTCATCCCAAAATAAGGTTCACAATTTGACTTGACACAAAATTTAAAAAAATATAAATATATTGTTAAAAGTGATGCAGCGAAGAGATAAAACTTGAAAGCCACTTAAATTTCTCCATAAAAGAAAAGAGAAAACTCTCTTTTTGGATGTCCCAAAAAGGAAATAAGGAGTCTTTTTTGAGACATAGGTCAGGGGAGTATTTTTTAACTTTTTCTAATTCTTTTCTATTTATTCTCACTTATTTCAGTTTTTTCTAATTCCTTCCAGTTTCTTCCAACACTTAAAAAATATATTTATATATGATGAATATAAAATACCATTATATATCTAAGTTTATAACATATCACCTAAAATATGGACAAAGATGATTTTTTAATCCAAAAATAGAGTTTTCTTATGCAAAAAACTAAAATAGGAGTAATACATAGAAAATATACCAAAATAAAATTTCATGTTTTTATTTCAAAAATATCAGTTAAAGTGCATATACAATATCAATCATGTCAATATATAATACCACAAAGTATTGTGAAATGTTAATATACAGTGTTACATTATCACAATCGCTGGAAATTTTTAGATAAATTGCACATTTTTGGACATAAATTCGGTAGGGTCCACAAAATTATTTTCCAAAATAATTATGGACGTTTAATCTCGTAAGTAAGATAAATGTTTCGACATATTACACGCCATAAATGGTGCTCGGGTGGATGAGAAATTAATTCACAAACTTGAATATGAGGGAAGTGTAAAACCCTTGCCCCACACTGGTTTTTGAACCTTTCGTATTCTCATATTTAAGCTTAGGCATTTAATTGAGCTTATGAAAGGAACAAGAAAAGGACTACTCGCGCGCCGCCGTCGCCGCCGTCAGGCTTGGCACGTCACGACATGTGCGCAGGGCGGGGCGAGGCGTGGCGAGGCGCGTGCGCCGCGCCCGCGTCTGCGGCGTGGCTAGCTTTTACGAGACCGAATCAAACACGCGTGTACACTTGGTTAATAACGAAGTGACGAGAGTTAAAGCATGCATGCACATGGAGGCGAAGGGTTGGCCTGTGACGCCTCGGTAACTCCATTCAGTCCAATTGAAGAGCCAATTCCTCTCCTATAAAAGGAGTGCTCGCCAGCAGGGATGAATCACTCGAATAACGTCTCTGATTCACATAAGCTTTCCAACTGTCTCCCATTTTTGATCGTCTTCTCCGGCAGTAACTTCCGTCGTTCTCGTTCGTCGTTGCACGGTTCTACCGCCCTAGGCCTTGCACGAAGCGATTTTATCCTGGGAGGAGATTGCCCACGTTTGCCTGTGCGAGAGGCGGGCAATACTACCTTGAGGAAAGCTCCGGCGACTCCGCTTTCCTAACCTTTAGTTTGAGAAACTTCTCCGGCGGCACCCTACTATCCGACGTCTCTGCTCAGCAATCCGTTCGTGTTCCTGCTTCCGTTTCAATTCGTTCGAGCTTCCCGAAGACTCCAATTTACTTATTTATTTTTCGTTGTAAAATCCGAACGTTTTATAAGTTCGGATTAATTATATTTATTTATTATTCCCGCTGTAATATTTAACAATCTTAAGGTAGTATCATGGACTTCGGATTCGGCATCGCGGGTTCCTCCGGCAACGGAATGAGTTCCGAAGTTCTGGTGGAAACCTCTTCGGTCGCCATGGTTGTGCCGTCCTGACCGCTGCCCTTCGGGTTAAGTGTGGGGGCCGCCACCATGACCTCCTTTTCGATGCCGAGCTCGATCTTTGGATCGGCCCCTCAACCCATTCCCGGGCTCGAAACCATGGGCGGTTACCCCGTCGGTAATACGAACCCGTTCCTTAGACCGTCTATGGCTTCGGCCACGACGGTCAACTTCGGATTGAATGCGGGTTTCAACGCATCGGTCAATCCATTCGTTGGACCACATTGGGCGACCAACGAGCCTTTCCTCCATACGCCTAATGCAGTTGGGCCGATTTCAGTACCCGCTAGTTCGGTCCAAAGGCCACCGAAGTTCAATGGCACGAACTTCAAAATGTGGGAACAAAAGATGACGTTCTTCTTGACCGTCCTGGGATTTGCGGAGTACCTACAGCAAGATCCTCCGCAGCTGAACGATGCCAACGACCCCCTCGTGGCGATGGTGAACCAAGCGTGGTACCATAATAACTATCTCACCATCAACATCATCTTCGAGTGGTTGGCCGAGACGTTGTACCCCGTCTACGCCGGTGCAAAGCTTGCTAAGGAGCTTTGGAGAAGCTTGAACAAGAAGTATCAAGCTGAAGATGCTAGCACAAAGAAGTTCATCATCGGGAAGATGCTGGACTACAAGTTGGTTAACAACAAATCTGTTGTCGCCCAGGCTGAGAAGCTTACGGTAATCTTCAACAAATGCAATGAAGAGAAAGTAGGCGTCAGCGAGGCCTTTCAAGTGGCAGCCATCATCCACAAACTTCCACGCTCTTGGGAAGACTTCCAAGCCGATCTCAAGCTCAAAAGAACAGAGCTGAACCTGGAGCAACTGCTCACGCGGTTGAGGATCCAAGAGGAAGGGCTTGCCAGAAGAGGTGGAGGGCCAAAAGAGAATGTGGTAGAACATCCGTCGGGCTCTTCACATGGCGGGAAGGACAAAAAGAAAATAGATCCTAAGGGTGGCGTTTCTAAATTTGCAGGGAAGTGCTATAATTGTGGCATTACCAGCATCGTTCCTCCGATTGTAAGAAAAAGAAGCCACAAAAGAATAAGAAGAAAACCACCGAAGCCATGTGTGCAGAGCTCGATAACTTGGACCTCTGCGCATTTGTCACCGAGGTTAATCTCGTCGGGTCAAACCCGAGGGAATGGTTTGTGGACACAGGGGCCACACGCCATATTTGCTCAAATCGGAGCATGCTTCACGACTTCCAAGAGACCTCTGGTGACAAGGTCTGGATGGGCAACTCGGCCCAATCAGAGGTTCAAGGGGTTGACAAGATTAAGCTCAAAATGACCTCAAGAAAAGAGCTAACGCTTAACGACGTGCTCTATGTGCCAGATATTCGCAAGAATTTAGTGTCGGGTTTGTTGCTAATCAAACACGACTTTCGGATGGTGTTTGAATCAGACAAGCTAATTTTGTCCAAGAAAGGGATTTTTATAGGAAAAGGCTATATTTCCGATGGGCTTGTAAAGCTAAATGTAATGACTGTTCATGAAAAGATTAATAAAAATCCCGTTGCTTATGTGTGTGAGTCTTCTAGTTTATGGCATGGTAGACTAGGACATGTTAATTATGCATCTCTCCGGAAATTAATTAACATGGAACATATACCAAAGTTTAGTATTGACTTAACATACGAGTGCAAAACTAGTGTTGAGGCAAAGTCAACTCGAAGTTCGTTTCAAACGGTCAAACGAAACACTCAACCTCTAGAATTGGTTCACACTGACTTGTGTGATTTTTGAACAACGCCTTCAAGAGGGGGTAATAAGTACTTTATTACCTTCGTCGATGATAGCACGAAATATTGCTACATCTATTTACTGAAAAGTAAAGATGAAGCGTTAGACACTTTTATTCGATATAAGAATGAAGTGAAAAATTAACTCAATCGCAAGATAAAAACGTTGAGAAGCGATAGAGGTGGTGAGTATGATGCTCCACTTAATGAGTTTTGTGCACAACATGGAATAGTCCATCAAGTAACCCCACCGTATACACCATAGTCTAACGGAGTAGCGGAGCGGAAAAATTGCACTCTGAAAGACATGATGAATGCGATGCTATTTAGTTCTGGATGACCCCAGAACATGTGGGGGGGAGGCTTTTTTATTAAGTAATTATTTACTAAATAAAATACCTCGTAAGAAACTTGACAAAACTCCGTATGAACTTTGGCATAATAGGAAACCTTCCTATAAGTATCTCAAAGTGTGGGGGGTGTCTTGCGAAGGTACTTGCACCACCACCGAAGAAGATGAAGATCGGTCCAAAAACAGTTGATGGAATCTTCATCGGGTACAATAGTACATCATACCGGTTCTTGGTGTACAAATCAGATAATCCTGAATTCACATGAACACATTCATAGAGTCATGGAATGCAACGTTTTTCGAGCACATTTTTCCGTGCAAGTCAAGCGACGAAGCTAGTTCGTTCAAACATTCTCATACTGAGATGATAGATAACGATGATCCAAATCAGTTGAATTCTGGTGACGATGATGAAGTTGAACATCAAATTGAATTGAGATGGAGTAAAAGAATACGAACTGAAAAGATGTTCGGTTCTGACTCCTTAACATATCTGATAGAATTTGACAAAGGAACTTTGTCATTTTTAATGGAAAATGAACCTGATATTCTAACATGTTTGGTAGAAAAGGAACCACGAACCTATCACGAGGCCGTAACCTCAACCAAGGGACCTCAGTGACGAGAAGCCATAAAAATTGAAGTTGATTCTATTCTTTAGAATCACACATGGGAATTGGTTGATCTCCCTCCAGGGTGTAAGCCATTAGGTTGTAAATGGGTTTTATGGAGGAAAATGAAGCCTGACGGCTCCATTGACAAGTACAAAGCCAGACTTGTGATCAAGGGGTATAGCCAACGCAAGAGCTATGACTACTTTGATACTAACGCGCCTGTGGCTAGGATAGTATCTATCAGAATGATCATCGCATTTGCATCCTTACGAAACCTGGATGTTTACCAAATAGATGTGAAGACAGCTTTTCTAAATGGCAAACTAGATGAAGAAATCTATATGGAACAACCCGATGGGTTTAAGGTTCCAGGCCAAGAAAAGAAGGTCTGCAAACTTGTGAAATCATTATATGGTCTTAAACAAGCGCCAAAACAATGGCATGATAAGTTTGACGAGGTTATGATGAACAACGGTTTTAAGATAAATGAGCCAGATAAGTGCGTATACTTTAAGGACACATCTGAAGGGTATGTCATTTTATGTCTGTATGTAGACGACATACTCATCGTTGGAAGCAACGACATGATGGTTAAGTCCACCAAGGACATGTTGAACGCACGATTCGATATGAAAGATTTGGGTCTGGCTGATGTGATTCTCGGAATCAAAATAATAAGAAGACCGGATGGTTTGAGCTTGAGCTAATCCCACTACATTGACAAAATCCTTGAAAAATTCAACAAGGATGATACAAAGATAGCTAAGACGCCGATAGACGTAAATGTTCACCTCGGTAAACACCGAGGGAGTAGTGATTCTCAGACAGAATACGCTAGAGTTATCGGAAGTCTGATGTATCTGATGAGCTGCACACGGCCAAACTTAGCTTGCGCCATTAGCAAACTAAGTAGGTATACCAGTAATCCGAGCACTGAGCACTGGAAGGCCATAGTCCGAGTGATGAGATACCTTCGGTACACTCGAGATTATAGCTTATGCTATGGCAGGTAACCACCCGTGCTAAAAGGATACACTGATGCCAATTGGATTGCAGATAATAAGGATTAAAAATCCAGAAGCGGATTTATCTTTATGGTAGCCAGTGCAGCTGATTCCTTGAAATCCTCAAAACAAATGTTAATTGCCAGATCCACCATAGAGTCTGAGTTTATAGCATTAGATAAGTGTGCAGCCAAGTGGCTTCGGAATTTACTTGAGGATATTCCAAACTGGGAAAAACCAGTTCCTCCTATTTGCATCTATTGTGACTGTCAGTCAGCAATAAGACGAGCTCAGAACAAATTGTATAATGGTAAGTCTAAGCACATTCGCCGTAGACACAAAACCAATAGGCAACTTCTCAATATGGATGTTATCTTGATTGACTATGTCAAGTCAAAGGATAATTTAGTGGATCCATTAACCAAAGGGTTAACTAATGACCAACATGAGAAGTTAGTGGTAGGAATTGGTCTGAAAGCCCTACCCTGTGCTAGGAACGTTCCATGAAGGAAAACCCAACCTAGGTGGTACCTGGGTTCAATGGAAAAACCTACTTGTGGATGAAGCATGGTCACTGTGGGGGTAAGCCGGGTCACCGACTTAACACCCCTCCGTTCCTACCGAGATACAGTGACTCCCGAAAGCGATGAGGTTATCATGATGCTTTAATGATTCTTGAACTATGGACAACGAGGTCTAAGTGGAGTAATCGGGATACTCTAAGAAGAATCACTTATGTAAGAGTGAAGTGCGGTCGCTTCGATAGAAGATCGATAGAAGGATTTCGAGCTGATCCTGTCTGACACTCTCGCAAAACCATATGCGTGTTCCACGACCATAATGGGCACACCCATGAGAACGGAATGATGGTTGGTTAAAACTTGTGTATTGTATATCGTCGTTCACATAAACGACAGTACTGTTCAAAGACATCATGTTCTACTGAACAGCTAGTAGAGAAGGTATACTTTACAAGGAGTAGGTTCAAAGGCATAAAACCTACCTACTCTTGCAGGTTTCAACTTCAGAGTTATGAGTTATTGCCAGTTACATGAATTAATTTTCATTCATGTGGGGGATTGTTGGAAATTTTTAGATAAATTGGAGATTTTCGAACATAAATTCGGTAGGGTCCACATAATTATTTTACGAAATAAATATGGACGTTTAATATCGTAAGTAAGATAAATGTTTCGACATATTACGCGCCATAAAATGGTGCTCGGGTGAATGAGAAATTAATTCTCAAAGTTGAATATGAGGGAAGTGTAAAACCCTTGTCCCACACTGGTTTTTGAACCTTTCGTATTCTCATATTTAAGCTTAGACATTTAATTGAGCTTATGAAAGGAACAAGAAAAGGACTCCTCGCACGCCGCCACCGCCGCCGTTCGTTCGGCTCGGCACAACACGTGCGCGCGCATTGCGGCGGGGCGGGGAGGGGCAATACTACCTTAAGGAAAGCTCCGGCGACTCCGCTTTCCTAACCTTTAGTTCGAGAAACTTCTCCGGCGACACCCTACTACACGACGTCTCTGCTCAGCGACCCGTCTGTGTTCCTGCTTCCGTTTCAGTTCGTTCGAGCTTCCAATTCCCGAAGACTCCAATTTACTTATTTATTTTTTGTTGTAAAATCTGAACGTTTTATAAGTTCGGATTAATTCTATTTATTTATTATTCCCGTTGTAATATTTAACAATAGTGTCAATTCATATTTTGGGGATAATTAAAAACATACAATTCATATTTTGTTACTTTCTCTATGTTTTACTCTTATATAGGTTGCTTTTTTTCTTACATATTTATTTGGGAGATCGTTTAATTGAATAACTTTTTAACTCTTCGTACATTTTTAAATTCTTTCTAATTTTTTTTCAAGTCCTTTCAGTTTCTTCCAACATCCAACTATAAAATTCTAACGCAAAAGAATAAGGCCTATGTCTCTTATGATAAAACTCGGGTTTCACCACGGAGGGTAGAGCACCGAATTCTAGGGTTTCGGCTGAACTCCTTGGTATGACCGAACAAGAGAAAAAAGAAAGTTGAGGAAGAGAGAAACTTAGGGAGAGAAGGCTTTTATTATTATTATTATTATTATTATTATTATTATTATTATTATTATTATTATTATTATTATTATTATTATTATTATTATTATTGAGTGTAGGGTTTGTGGTTGTAATACAACCATTTATATAAAATAGAGTTCCCTAATCCTAATGGAACTACTTTTCTATTCTGTTGGTTCAAAAAGAGCATCGAGGTAAAAACTTGAGAAGAAACCCTCTAGATGTTCTTTTTCTTTGTCAGCGGCAACAATTGGTGATTAATGCTCCATGGATGAGATAAAACTTCATAGTTTCTCTTTTTTCTTTGGCTTAGCAGTGCTACGTAGATTTTAAGTCCCCTTTTTTCGAAGTTTGGCTGGTTCTTATTATGCATCCATCATTTTTTCAGCACCTCTTCGTCCCACTTCTTTTTGTGAGAATTGTGACTTATATATGTAAACTTTAAATCCTGACCCATTAGAATTTGAAGTTCCAGGTCAACCATAGACCAAATAGGATTAAGATTCTTCCTCCAAGATCTATCTTTTTCTTCTTCTTCTACATTTGCTTGGTCTCTAACTCTAAATAAAAAACTACAAATAACTCTAGATAAATCTGATCTATTCGTGTGTCAAAAAAAATAATGTCAACATAATCTTGAGCTAACACTTAGGACCACCAAATCACTCTTCCTACTAAATACGTTTGTCTTCATAATTCATGTTGGAGTTCCCATATCAGAAAATAAAGAAGAATACCACTAGCATATATAGAAGGGTGAAGCCCTACCTATCAGCTTAAGCTTTTGGGTTAGAATAGTAGATCCCGTCTTTATATGCAAGTGGTTAATTTTACCCGACACTCCACTCGTTGTTCTCGGCCCACCGAAATTTTAACATGGTTTTGGAGCATGTCCGGTACGGGTTCGATTATTCGTGGTTGCTTAGATGTCGATTATTTCGGGTTCAATTTTGAGCCACACATCCGTGGTTTGGGTTAAGTTGGCTGTAAGAGAGTGAAAAGCCACTGGCCGTTGTCTGGGCTAGCTAAAAGAGATTGAGATGTTAGACCTGTTTGTCCAAGTGATAACTAGACCATGTTAGTTACCACTTGAGGGAGTGTTAGAATTCTCACAAAATAAAGAAGAATACCACTAGCATATAAAGAAGGGTGAAGCCCTACCTATCGGTTTAAACTTTTAGGTTACAATAGTAGATCCCAACTTTATACGCAAGTGATTAATTTTATCCGACACTCCACCTGTTATTTTCGGCCCACCAGATTTTTAACAATTCATTTAGTAAATACTTAAAGCCCCTTAAGTCAAAGTGTTAAGATGATATAGAGACAAAAAGAGTAATAAAACAACAATGCAGTATAAGAACAATCAATGTGTTAAAGAGATGTGTTAAAGAGTACTCCTTTAATTCTATATCTTTCTTCTCATTTATCTTTTTTTACTGTTCTATATATTTCTCTAACTTTCCTTAATGTGAAAGGCTCTTCACCTTTTCCACTACTAAAAAACTATTTTATCCTTACTCTTTTTTTCATTATTCACCTTTCTTTACATTTCCTTTCATTTTTATTGCACGATCAAGGGTAAAAATAGAAAATCAAATAAACCATCATCTCACATTAAAAAAATCTATCAAGTCAAAATAAATAAATAGAAATATATGGAATGGAAGGAATACTTGCTAAATACTCGTATATGAGTACGATATCCATACCGTAAATGGGACTATAATCACACTCAACTCAAATTTGATCTTACCCATTCATATACAGTACATATTAATATCTACTTAAATAAAGAATGTTTTAAGTTATAGAATTATTTGAAGTACTGAGTACTATTTACTAAAACTCAATCAAGCAGTGAAGCTTCATCAGACCAGTGAAAGAGTGTATGCCATGAATACGTAGCAAAGAAAATAACTTGTGGGTTGTTCGGCTAGATCATAAACAAATTACATACACTCCCCCGTCTAAAAGTCTCAAAGTCTAAGGGTCTCTTTGGTACAAAGAAATCAAGCTACGGAATTGGAATTGAGATTTTAATTTAAATTCAGCTGAAACTACATGGATTTGGAGTTAGTTGTGTAAAAAATGAACCAGAATTGGAAAATTCAATTCCATCCAATTCAATTCTATAGAATTTTAATTCTAATTTAATTCTAATTTTGTCAATTTTGTGTACCAAAAAGACCCTGAGGGTCCGTTTGGCATACAGAATTGATGGAATTGGAATTGAAATTCCATGAGATTCAATTCCATAGAATTGAATTTACCAATTCCAAATCATTTCTTGCACTATCAGTTTCAAATCCACATAATTTTGTGCTACCAAACACCAGAATTGGAATTGAAATCCTCAGGTCAAAACTTTGATATGTTCAATAGCACTTATTTTCAATATTCAAATCAGATTCGTTTATTGAGTACTGCTTTTTTTTTTATTTTTCATTTGAAAGAGTACTGCTTAATTAGTTCAAACCAAATTACAATGAATTCGTACTACTCAATTCATTTAAAGAATGATTCAGTTTGCTTTAAAAAAAAAGAGCCTAGACTTAACACTAAAGAGACCAGACTCCTAATTTAAGACTCCAAACTCCAGCAAAAAAAAACAAGTCCCAAGTATGCACCACTTGTAAAATCTTATGACCAAGAGTGCAATTTATCAATAACTAAAACTATCCCATTCATGGAACAGAAGAAGAATAAGAAGAAAAAAGATACAGATAAAAGCAAAGAACCTCAGCTTCTCAATTCTGTAGTCTATGTATAATACCAGTCCAGAACACCAGAAGTCTGAATTTGTTTGTGTACAGGCGGCGAAATGCACTTCAAATTGCGAAGAGCCAATCACCACATATCAAACCTGAATTACAACAATCGTGTTGTTTAAAGTGATCTTAATCACTCTCAATCATACATCCCATCTTGCTCCCAAATATCTACAAGAAAATCTACCATTTCCTGCCAGTTTGAAAAACATATAAATCTTCAAAGCAGGTCGCTCCTAGAATATATTATACTCCATCCGTCATAAAATTTTCTTCCTAATTTCACCCGGCACATTCATTAAGAAAAAGAAATTATGTCGATATGGAAAAGATCAAATGAATGTCAACAACACAAATGTTACGGGAACATGAGAATAAAATTTCCGGACATCCGGAAGAAAATTTATGTACTCCATCCGTCCCTAAATAATCTTCCTATATATGTGTGAATGAAGTTTTATAAAACAAGAGATGACATGACTATTTTATTTTATCTGATGAACAATGGTATAGTTTGATCTTGTGAATAGAAAATGGGATGATTAAAAAGAGAAAGAGAGAGTAGAAGAAAAAGCCTCCAACCAGACACACATATAAGAGACTTACGCCAAGGGGAACTGGATTGGTGAAGGGTTTGTTGCTTCCAAGCAAACTATCATATGTTGCATTCCAGCTGCACATAAAAACTTTCTTAGGAATTTGCATCTCGTTACACCATTAATAAAGAATAAGAGGTTTGCGAGAAAGTCAATAACGCAAACATTTTCAATTCTCAAGAGAATTCTCTAGGGTCGCCGGTCAGGGATTGTAACACAATATGTACCCACACTATCATGAGAATCATTGTTTGAAATAAAAATCGAACAGACAACTTGTCTTTAGTAAAGGAAGTGGTAGAAATTCATAGTTCAACAATGCATTAGCTTAGCACTCAAAGGAAACACACAGGTTTCACCGTAATAGGGATTGAATATTGGATCCAAATGCTATTAAGACCAGGCAGATGCAAAGGCAGAGATCCCAACCTTTTGAGAAATAAAGGTTCAGTTTATATAGCGTGTTATGTTTCCCATAATAAACAGGAAGGAAACTGTCACAAAGTGTCAAACATTTCAAATTTTTTTTCCTTCTCTTAGCACCATGCACACCAACTATTGTACACAGTCCACATACAAACTAGTATCAATTTATCATAAGGAATTCAAGTAACACGCACAGGATAAAAATCCATGCCACTCCTTTCTCTCAACTCCTATCAGAAAAGAACATCCAATCCATTGGATTGCATGAACTTGCTGACACAAGCTGTGAGCCTGTGAGCAAGGAGGAACATGATCACTCCTGAAAACAGAAACACCCATTCCATAAAGACACACATCTTACCTTAATTTGGGCTCTGGCGGCTGCAGTGACTGATTTTGAGGTTTTTTACTTCCTACCCAATGCTGTCTAATTTGGTTCCATAGAATTTGTCCTGAGGGTAAGAAACATTCCATACAATAACTCAACTGTAACACCTGAGGTTAACATGTATAACAAAATTGGCAACCCAGGCACGCCTAAAATTCAGCATCTTACTAGACTCGGGCCGATGATGCACTTAATAGAATATGGATCCAGAGATAGTATTTAGGAAAATGCCCTGAATTAAACAAAGCACTCACCCCCGCACGCACGCACACACACATGATCATATCCAAAAGCAACTATACATGCACAACCGTTTAACAATGACTATCCTTTCGGGTGGTGGGTAAGAAGGCAAGTAGGCAATTTAAAGGCATGTGAGTCCCTGAGGCCCGAGAATAAGATTTACCATGATTTACAAATTCAGAAGGGGTATTTGTACTTCCATTGATGTGAGGATCAAGTGCTTGGGTTGAAGTACTAATGGAGGATATGCTTCCTCGTGAGTGAACGGCATTCACATCCATATCCCGTGTGCTCGTGGTCCAGAAATCCTCGGATATGCTAGGCACTGGAGCCTTGTGATCCTTAGTTCTTTGCCTTCTTGGTGGATTGTTGAAGGATGAAATCAATTGTTCCTTGTTATCACATCCAAGACAATTACTGCTCTGTTACGAATGGGATGGGTTTCTGTAAGAATCTACTTTATTACACATAGAAATGGCATTGATAGTAACATCGTCATCATTCATCATTCTCAACACCTTAATCCTAACTACTATGGGTCGGTGGCATTAAATTTAGATTGCCAATTAACAATATGAGATAAGTAACATATAAATGCATGCAGAAAAAGTGGCAATACTATAAATTCATGCAGAAAAAATGGCAATACTATAAATTCATGCAGAAAAAATGGGATATTAAGGAATAAAACGCATATGTATATACACCCTCTGTCCCCGAAAGAAAGTTGCACCCTAGCACTTTGACTTCAGGAAGTTCAAGGAAATTGTTGAAAATGTGGAAAAGTGTTCAAAAGTGAAAAATGTACTATTTAGAAGAATGACAAACGATGCTAGCCATTAATTTGTTTCTTTAATAGGAAAGTAAAGAAGTGTCAACTTTATTTTGGGTCAAACAAGAAAATGAATTATCACAGATATTCATAATTACAATATCTTATGCAACATCTTGTTTCACTTAGATTAAAAATTATTGGTGTGATGAACATAATGCACACAAACATGAGTGTGTTTCTATCCTACAATTTGAGTGGGATATAATTAAGTACTAAAGCCCCTACCTCATTTTTTAAATAGAGAAATCCCAGTCACAATGATTGAGACCAAGAATACTACAGCAGACAGATATAAATTTATTTAAAATCAAAATAAAATAGAAAACCATTATGACAAACTGACCCTAATCCCTACTCCCAGGAAAACTGGGTGATTTAGGGGGTCCCATTGGTAAACCTGTAGTAATACAATTGGCCATGGTGACCTGTTTCCTCTCACATCCAGTGGAACTTCTCACTTCTCAGCACACCACACCTTTCTTTCTAATGCCACAAAAAACTAATCGCGCTGCAATTACACTCAAACCCAACCAAATTGCAAGTATACCCTATTTAAAGCTTCTGAAATCACAGTTTACCCAATGGACCCTTAGTCAATTCAATGTTCTCCAATTTTTTCTCGGCCTCGTGCATATGACAGCTTTGTGTGCTGAAACTGACTTAAGGCATCCCCAATGCAAGAGACTCTTTCAGACTGTGCAGCATTTTAGTATTTCAGACTATTCTCCAGACTATCAGAAAAACTATCCGAACCCTCAAGACTCTGTTAGACTTTGCCACATCAATGTTGGATTTAAGGAAGGAAGAACACTGCGAAGCAGTGTTAAACGAAGAACTCGATAGTATAATGAATCGCGTACGAAACGCTTTCAGATCAAAGTAATTTCGGGGTTTACGAAATACTTCAATCGGATAAGACGTTAATTAAGAACAAGCACTCGAAAATCTATAACTCAACCCATACCACGAGACTCTATTTTATAGAGTCGAAAATCCTCATGATCGTACATGAACGTTCGCGTAGACGTACGCGTACGTTCCCGCGAGGAAGAAGAAAGGTGCGAGTTTGAACGAAAGGTCTCCTGCGGTTTTAGGCTCTATTTCGGCGTTATCCACTTTGTACGAGTCTTTTACCGTTTTGGACTCCGGACACGAAAATCTTAGAATTTTCATAAAGAAACAACGTCCGACCCCGGCCAGGGGCTCTGCCCCTTGGACCCCGCTAGGGGCTGCCGCCCTTTGGACCCCTCTACCCAGGGGCTGCCGCCCCCGGAGTGAATTTGTAATATCGTTGAACGAGCGCGCACTCTGCGCCTCCTAACTCGTTTGACAATGTCTATTTAAATTCTTGTCCGATCTAAGTAAATCCAATTACACAAAATAAACCGATTACACTAAAATCACCAACAATCAACATTCCACTATCTTTTATTCTAATAAGTTTTATTTCTATTTAATCAGTTATCTAATATATGATTGTATTATACATTGATTTTTCTACCAAACTTGTTTTCAAATATAATTAACCATTAAAAAAATTAACAACGTAAAATTAGAGAGAATTATATAAACTTAACAGACATAAAGTACGTAAAATAAAATGAGTACATTTCATTAAGATCATTTAAGTAAACACACATAAAAAAGTGCATAAAATAAAATTAAAAGCACGAAAAATTAAAATAACATAAGTAGATATAATTAAAATGTATAATGGATTCATGTAGGTTGATCCTTAAGAGATTGCCAAACATAAAAAATCTAAATATTCTTTTTTAGCGCAATTGAATCAATTACAAAATATAAAATTGTATAAAAAATTTAAATATAAAACTGCATAAAATAAAAAATACATAAAATAAAAATAAAAGCATAATAAAATGAAAATTTGACAATTGGGTATTTTTCTAAATGGGGAGGATTGGTTTTTTTATTACAAAATAATTGTAACTCATTTATATTTTCAAAAAATATTTGTTATTGATTACACATGTCTGATGTTTATTGGATGGATTGAGATGGGAGTCTTGAGAGTGAGACTATGAAATCAAAGACTCCTTATCACACTTTCCCAATTTTCCGTGCACCCCAATGGTAAAATCGGGAGAAGAGAGTCTTGAGACTCTCCCTCAGACTCCCTCAAAACTCCCATTAGGGATGTCCTAATAGTGACTAATTAAATCATTTCTTATTCCCATATTAATACATAATATCATCCGTCAACATCAGATTGCATTATGCACAATTAAGAAGATGAAAAATGTGCAAACCCTTCATAGTAGCAGCTGTTTCCTTCCACCAGATTCTAAACTAGGAGTAAAGTATGTTATTATGTCTTCTAAAGACCAGACTTACCAGAATAATCATTAGACTCATTCAGCATAAATAGCTGCCAGGACCAGGATAGTTAACAACTTTCAAGTTTCAACTACTCTAACCAGTCAGTATTTTCAATAGCTAGGTGTAAAGATGTAGGAATCTTAAAAGACCTTCAGGCGTTATAAATAGACTGTTCCACTCACTCTAGAAATTTCCTATAACAGCTGCACCAAGGGATCATATAAATATAGCCAATTTTTTTTAAAAAAACAAGACAAAACCGCAATTGTTCAATTCTGTCATATTTAGGAACCAGTAGACAAAATTTGAGCAATTCATTTATCAGATAAAGCAAAAACAATCGGTTAAAATGAGGCGAAATCCTGAACGAATCACAATTAATCCTATAAGAGACAATGATCCAATGATATAAACACATATGACATACCCCATGTCGGCAGCCGACTAACCGGAGAGACCTAAGCCGCAACAACAGATCCGACCGGGAGCAGCGTTGCCACAATAAACGCTGATTCCAGGAAAATCTCGCGCGTCTTCAGAAATCCCTGGACAATTCACAAACGCAAAATTCAATTCAATCCAATCACGATTTATCCAAAACACATGCATATGATCTAGTCATGATCAGGAAAAGGATTTGAGAGAAGGAACCCGAGAGAGAAAGAATTGGGGATCCTTCCCCCTCTCCGATCCGTCTGAGCGAAAGCCCTTCCTGAAATCGAGAGGGTCAATCCACACACGATTCTTCTCCTGTAGCTGATGAAACGAAGAAGAAGAAGAAGAAGAAAGAAAAGAGGAAGCGGGGCAGCTCAAAAACATTGACGTTGCACGCCACGTACTCCGCTAAATAACACTGCACGTGTGATGAGGATAATAATAATAATACTCTCTAATCCGTGATAATAATAAGTTAATCAGTCTACAATAATGCTCCTTGTGGATAGTGTTGGGCCGGCCCAAAGGTCCATAATGTGGGCCTCCCAAAGTAGAATTGACTTGGATACCCAACTCAGGCTTGACCCCAATATATTTATAGACTTTACCGATATGAAACTCTGATGTTAGTTAATGTTCGTAAATGCATTATAATCAAATTTAGGATCACATTTGGGGTACCCCAAACATGACTTTCAAAAGTATATATGCTCCTTCTGTCTTATAATAATTGTCACATTTTCCTTTTTGTTAGATAAAAAAATTGTCACATTCCTTCTAGAGAAAAGAATGCGCATTTAAGAAAATATGAAAATGACTAAATTTGGACTAAGATATAGCAAGGACAACAAAATAGAATCCTAAGGAAAATAAATTTACTGTTGAGAAGACAACTTATACTAAACCATCGCCCACGTCGTCTATCTTTCGGTTTGGCCAAGTTTTGGTGGCCATGGCCGGCCATCGGCTCTCTCCCGACATGCTAAACAAAGAGCGGCTTTGATAGAGTGACAAACTTTTGGAGCACAAGGGAGTTATCAGAGCGACTTCGACAGAGTGCAATGTTAACAAAGCACAAAATAGAAATGCATGCGAGGTTGGATATAAAGAACGATAGTGTTGATGAATGGAGTTGGCCATGTTCAAGAAGGCATTAGTGGCGGGCATGGGTGATCATAGTGGTGAAAGGCGACAACGGGTAGATAAGCCTAATGATGGATATTGGGCTCATCTATAATATCCCAACCCATGTCACTTGAATAGATGTATTAACTAAACGAGTTGCTATTAATTTAGTATTCACAAGCCAAATTATTTAAATCATTTAAATAAAATTCAATATTTCAAAACAAATTCAATTATTCATCAGAGTTCACTCAAAATTACTCCCACTAAATACCTGCGTGTAGTCAAAGAAAAGCAAAGACTACACACTCAGTTGAAAGTTGAGTAAGAATATATCTATGCTTGAATCAAGTTACTGAATAATACCACAATCACATTCAATCACACAACATCATGCGAGTAAATCACAGTATCATATCACAATATTGTTAATGAGGAATCATCCTAGCATAATAATCTATCATTAATTTTTACCTAGGGCAGCTTGTAATACCCTAACCCGCTTAACACGAACTAACGAGCTAGCGAACCAGGTTGTTACTAATTTGGTATTAACAAGCATAATATTTAAAAAATTTAAAATAAAAATCCCTTCATAGCAATTTAAAACATAAATCTTTCAGAGTAATAAATCCAACATTTACGGAAGCCTTTAAAACAACATCCAAACATCCTTGCATTTTAAGTAAATAAATAATGAATAAAGAATTAAATAATTAAATAAAACAGGCCATCCACGTTTCCAAGCATCACTGACCATCGAGATAATCCTCCAAAATGATCCTTACCTGCTTGCAGTCAAAGACAATAAAGTCATACTACACGATCAACTGAAAGCTGAGTGAGGATATATCTAACGTTAGAAACAATTTACAGAGTAGCGTCACAATATATAATCAAGAAAATTCACGCGAATAGGTAACAACCTTTCCCATTAATTTGTTCACAACTAAATCCTCACAATATAAGGTCACTCTCTCAACTAGAGTCATGGACACTCCTAGAGGTGCCGGGAAGCCAAGCTCTCCTTTGTTTTCTGCAAGAATCTGTCACAAAGAATTCAAGAACTAATGTTAGTCATATGAAGACAACTCACTTGAATTAAGCAAAGAAATCGAACTCGAAATCAAGAATTGCGCCCCTCTCTGTTTTCTGTTAGCGTATGTCACGCCCGCAAGGAGGAAGGTGGTGACGGCCACTGGTTGCTGGTGCTGCTCGCCAGAGGAGACACAAAAGAAAGAGGGTAGATGACGAACAAGGGTGGTGATCAACGAAGGAAAATTGGCGATCAGGAGTGTTAATATATACTCCGTATATAAATAGTACTAGGAAGGATTTTGGGGTATCTTTCTAGGTAGGTAGGAACATTATGGAATATTATATTATTATTGTTATTATACTACCTCCGTCCCAAAAAGATTTACACGTTTTGACTAAAGTTGAAATTAGGGGAGAGATAATTTTGTGTTGACTTTCCAAAAATACCCATGGGTTAAAGTAGGATGTGATGTGTAGATTATTAAGAAAAAGGTATGATGTAATAGGTAGGGTTTGAAAAAGTAAGGGGTAAAAGTGGTTTTTTAATAGAAATGGGTAGAAGATTGTGGGACGCAATTTTTTTGAAAGGTGTCAATCTTTTTTGGACGGAGGGAGTATTATATTATGAAATCCTCCCCTCAAAAAGTATTATGAAATCCTTCTATTTAATTATTGAATGTAATGACTATTTTCCTCATAAATAAGTCCAAACTTGACAAACAATATACTCCCTCCGTCCATAAAAGAACTTCCCACTTTCCTATTTGGGATGTCCACAAATAAATTTCCCATTTCCTTATTTGGTAACTTTTTTATGTTAAAATGACTAAACTACCCTCAACCATCCAAGCCACCCACTTATTTTCCTTTTCTTCTTTCTCTGATCTGCCCATTCTTTTTTTTCTTCTTCTTCTTTTCTTCTTCCCCCATTCTTCTTCTTCCGTCCAGACGTCAAGCCACTCCTCTCTTTTTCTTCTTTCTTTCTTTCTCCTTCCCCTAATCCACTCCACTCCTTTCGATTTGTTCATACCACACCAATCTTCTTCTTCTTCTTCTTCTTCTTCTTCTTCTTCTTCTTCTTCTTCTTCTTCTTCTTCTTCTTCTTCTTCTTCTTCTTCTTCTTCTTTTCCTCCTCCTCTTCTTCTTCTTCTTCTTCTTCTTCTTTTTTATTCATTCTCCCTCCCCCTTCCGATTTCACCCACGATTTGGAAAGAGCTCTCAGATTTGACTAGATCTAGAAGTGTACAAAGACAAAATTGACAAAAGTCTTTTTTTCTTCAGATCTGCGGGGAAATCAACAAGTCCTAAAATAGATTTGCGATGACAGAAGGTTGCGATGGCGGGGGGGGGAGGGGGGGTTGCCTTCAACGAGAAGTCCCAGAACAGATCTGCGAGGAGGGCTTGCGGGTTGTGTTCAATGACTGTCTTCAACGAGAAGACCTGGAATAGATCTATGACGGCGTAAGGTCTGCGATGGTGGGGGTGGGGGAGGGGCGGTGACAAGAACATCGGCAGTGGTGCCGAAGAACGGTCGGTCGGTGAACCGCCGCCGGCGTTGGCAACACCGGTAGATGGCTTATGACGGTGGACAGGGCAAATAGGTTGAGGGGTTTGAGGGGAAAGTCAATACAATTTTTATCACACATAAATTCGCGTGCCGGGTCAAACCGGGAAGTTCTTTTTTGGACGAAGGGAGTATTATTAGTCTTCTTTTCACGAGGTCTACCCAACAAAACAAATATTGAATATATAATTCTTACATTATGACAAACTTATATTTTAATCTTTTACTATACTATTTTTTTCTCTTTGGGCGATCAAGTTTTTAAGTTTCGGAGCTCTGATTCACACACGAGGTACACCATTTGACTCATCTCATCGAGGCTTACAATTCGAATATAAATTTGACCATTAAAATATAACTTTGAAAATAATTTATTTTAGCCATGTAGTTTTAGTTTTTTTAAAACACTTTAAAGAGAAAATTAGAATTACAATTTATTAGAATTTCATTATTAATTTCAGGGTATATTTTGGGAAGTTACATGGCCAAGGCTTAATTAATCATGACACCCAAGCTGATACCAAGAGGCCGAGCTCAAACCCAATGAAGGTATCCAAAGGGCGGGTTGAAGCCCCTACCGAAGAGATACTGAAATAGGTTGAAGACTTCCGTACGTATGCTTTTAATCCAAGGTCATTCAGTATGCACAAATGCCTGACATGACATGTTTCCAGTCTTAGTCGTATTGGTGATTCCAGACATACAATCACAGACATACACACATAGTTATATATATATATATATATATATATATATATATATATATATATATATATATATATATATATATATATATATATATATATATATATATATATATATATATGGGCCGGTTCCCGTGAGAATGCACCTTGTAGAGAGAAATGAGAATGAAATCTAGTCGTTGAATCTGATGCATCGTGTGGCTCAAATTGCATCCTGCGCTGAGATTTTGAGATAGTGCATTTTCAAAGGATTTTGGTGCATTTCGACGTAATGCATTTTCAAATCATTTTGGTGCACCTATTTTTGATGCAATCCTGACCCTTAGATCTCACAATCTAAAGCACCAGATTCATTCTCATTTCTCTCCTAAGATTGCATTCTCACCAGAACCAACATCATATATATATATATATATATATATATATATATATATATCTGTGTGTGTGTGCGCGCGTATACACACACACACAGTTGGAGGAAAGGGCTTTGGGAATTCGGGTATATTTAGTAAAATTGTAATAAGTTATTATTTTATTATAAAATTATTTTATTATTTATTTTACGTACTCAAACGAACATTTATTTTGATCATAATTTTTATGCACAATTCTAAACTCGACAAATAATATGTCATTGGTCATCTTTTTATGAGACCTAGACAAAGGTACCATTATTGAATATATAATTTGACGCTATGACATACTTACGCTTTATGATAGTAAAAGAGTAAAAGTGTATTCCTCACTCAATACCTCGAATCAGGCTCTGGTTGCATTTTTAGAATCAAATTTTCAAAACTAGAATAACAATATGTTCAAAAACATGCTATTGCAACTTTATATTTTCTCACTCTGGGTTTGTGATAAGTCTGTTATGTACGTACTTATCTTCTCCGTATTTAATGTGTTATTGTCTAATTTTGGATCAACTAAGACAATTTTTCAATTATTTTTATAAGTTTTTGTTTATAATTGTTAAATTACATAAAAGTTATGTCTTGTTGTAAAAAGAATAAAAGTTGAGTCAAAAGTTATACAAAAGAGGATGAAAGTTGGAACCACGTTTCCAAGACGAGTCTCCTCCATTTCTCTTGTTGCCACCAAGCCACAAGATTGAGTCAAAGATCCTCGACTTTGACTGCAAAAAATGAGAACAATGGTGGCATCAGAAGAGACTCAAAAAGGTCAAAATTTATGACTCTCGGATCTGTAAGACCCGTAAAAAATGGGCTAACGTCAAGCGAGTGACGTTAAAGAAGCGATTCTTGGGAGGCAACCCAAGCGAATAAGTTTTATTTTCCTTTTTTCCGCGTTTGTTTTTTGTGTTTGTTTGTGTGCAGGTGGAGCTAGGAATCAAGAGTGTTGGTGAACAATTTTGACAAAAAAAAAAGGAATGGCTAATTTTTGTGCATAATATTTTTATAAAAACATTTTCAGAAAAATATTGAGATTTGATGTCAACCCTAAGTGTGTCGAGATTCGAGTTTGGTACAGAATTATTTTATTTGTTTAGAAAATATTTTTGAAAATATTTTTAAACCTTTGCTGCATTTTTTTGTAATTATTAGTGATTTTGCACCGTGTACGGAATGACTGTCTAAGCTGATATGGTACTTAAGTGGATGGAAAGCGTGATGCCATCGGGAGCTGAACTTGTCCCACCATTCCTACATAGTCATTTTGTGGAAAGGTTTATTCGGGTGAGCCTCAGAGCACTTAATTGACAGCATTCTGCCCGATCCCGAATACTCTGAATCAGTCGAGTTACCACTTTTGATATCCTTAAAATTATTTTACACTTTTTACTCTTTTCATTGGTAGAATTATTTTTAATAGCCCCCCTTATGCAAAAATTAGCTAAAAATTTTAAATTATTTCTGTAAATTGCACATATAGCCTTTTTATTGGCTAAGTTTAATACGGAGTAGTTTTGTAAATAAATAAATTTGGATACTAATGTGTTGAAAATAAAATTATTTTTTTAGTGAATAAACATTAACTTGTAAAATACGCTAAGGTCAAAGATTTGTAACTTGTATTTATTTTAAAGTCTAAAATGACGTTGTTCCGCTATTTCAAATGAAGTATGAGCAGTATACTTGTCTGAAAATTTGATATTTCAATGATTGCATTGTATGTTTTGAAATAAAAAAGGCAAAGAACACACTTTGGTGAGATCGAGTTCTGGAGTGAATTCAAACTCAAAAAGCATCTGGTTCGATGTCAGATGATGAGACTTAAATTGAGTGAATGCCAAAAAGTATGTGGTTCTATGTCGTGTGATGAGGTTTTTGAGTGAATAAAATCCAAAAAACTCGTAGTTCTATGTCATGCATGGGATGAGGATCAACATTTTCTCATGTCAAGATGACAAACTGAAGTTCTACAAAAAAAATCCAAACTTACTCTTTGCATAGGAATAAATGATATTTTCAGAAAAGTTATTTTAAAAGTTTTTTCCAATATACATATTTTTTACCTTATACTCCGTATTATTTTGGAGTTATTATAAAACACTTACAGTTCTTTTGTTTTAGACATTAGTATCTAATTCTGTATATAGACAAGCTTTTACATTTACCCAATAACATGAATTTATGTGCATTTATTTAGAAAAACAAATAAAAATATTTTGCTAACTTTTTGTAAAAAGGGTGCTATTTCTAGTAATTTTATTTTTGTAAAGAATAAATAGTGTAAAAGAATTGTGTGCAACAAAGCGTTTAAAAGTGTGGTTGAAAGTTTTTCTAAATTTTTTTGTCAATAACTGTTTGTTCCAGAATTTCATTTGTTGTTGTACTCTGTTGCTTGCGGGTAAACAACACTAAAGTGTGGGGAATTTCATAAGTTTTTTTTGTACGTACTTATCTTCTCCGTATTTAATGTGTTATTGTCCAATTTTGGATCAACCAAGACAATTTCTCAATTATTTTTATAAGTTTTTGTTTATAATCATAAAACTGCAAAAAAGTTATGTCGTGTTGTAAAAAGAATAAAAGTGAAGTCAAAAATTGTACAAAAGAGGATGAAAGTTAGAAAATGCATAGAATCAAGAGAATTGAGGTCAAACTTGAGGAAAACTGTTTCAAGATAAAGATCACAAGCCAAAAAAGAGATTGAATTGGGTCTCGAAGCAAAAAGAATTGAAGAAATTGTTGAAAAATGAAGTTTTGGATCCAAAAGCATCTCAGGCCCCAAGCAGCCACCGCCTGGACCTTATAGCCCACACCTGTCGGATGTCTGGACCTCTGACAAATGCCTATCGTAAATTCAATCACGAAAAATCAACAATTTGGCTCAGGCCCCCGCTTGGACTTATGTACTTGTTGACAAACGGTCTGACAAGCCCAGGCCTCGGCCAGACCCCACCTAGGCCCACGCCTGGACCTCAGGCCCAGGCCTGCCGGAGGCCTGGACCAATTTTCACCTATAAAAGGAAGGTGCGCCCCTCCATTCTCCAATCAACCAATTCCGGGTCTTCTAAGGTCTAGACCTTCTCTTTAGCTCCCGTTCTCAGTTATATTTTAATATTTTAGTTTACTTTTGTTCCAGTTGTCTCAAAGTGGCCCTGGCTTTGCTCTCGATTGTAAGTTTATTTTTACAACTTTTAATAAAATGTTCTTTTATTTTATATACTGTTAGAACCGGGATTTAGGGTCCTGGCTAAATTTGGGTATATACTCTGTATGTTTATTTAATAATTGGAATAATTGTTTTAGAATTATTTTTATATTTAAATTAATTAATCATGTCAAGAGAAAAATTAATTAATCTATGGAATCAGTTTTTGTCTCTTCTATGACAATATAAAATTAATTAAGCCAAACATTTTAGAACACATTAATCAAGGTCTTGAAAGAGGATAAGTTAATGAAATACTTGTGACGGAAATATTATTATTTCAATTATGGATTAAATATGTGATGACAACAGTAGTTAACTCGGATGATGCCTTGGCCCGAAGTCTAGTACTCCTATACCCGTACTATTTATTTTCTTTTTCTCAAAAGCACCCAGTAGTGTCGTATTTTTATTTTCAAATTGAATCTAGAAGACTTTCAGACCCGTCCTAACCTCCGCCTAGTTAGAAATTAAAAATTAACTAGTTCCCTTCGTCTACTCTTCGAGAGACACGACACTCGGAAAAACTAACCCTTCATTGGGAAGGTTGACTTCCACTAAAACTCCACTATTAGTTTGCCTTAGTCATTAACTAACCCTTTTAACTAATACAAATAGACCCATAAGTAACAATATTCACAATCATTTATTAAATTAGTCATATCATTCCAAGCACACATGGAGGACTAAATTCTCTATAATATTATTTGATTTTTTTAAAATAATTAATTTGTCATAAATAAATACTACTCATTTATTCAGAAATGGCGATAAACCTCTAGATTTGTTTCTAGGGCCTTACATGATCAATATAGATCCCATTTTAATAATTATTCATGAAACAAATCACTTACCCTAAAAAATGATG